TTTTTCTTTCATAGAGCACTGGTCTGAAAGCTAGAGCTATTAGAATCAGAATTATTTTAATTTCCTTTGAAATTAACAGGAAGTTACAAACTAGGAATTTGCTTTGTCCTCCTTATTGTCCTCACAGTAGTGAATGTATGACGTCAGAGACAGTGTCAGTGTACTCGTCCAGACCCTCTGGCAGCGCTGAAAATGTGAAAACTAGTTTTCATACACAAGTGTAGCTCCTCCACAAAAGTCCATTAGACTGATTAGCCTTATTATGTCCCAGGGTTAGTCTCAGTCTGTACGCAGGGATCAGGTTTATCATGGCGTGACCTGGTATGACCTGAACGCTGTATGCATCACTGATCGTAGTGTAACAGTGATCTCGTGTGTTCTCTCTGGTCGGGCATGTGATGACCTGTCTGAATTTGGGTACTTTCTGGATTCATTTGGAAGAAGTACAACATTTTCCCACCCCAGCAATTCCTTCAGGCACTGTACTAGCACAGTACATGTAAATGCAGCAACTGTACATATATTTATTTTGTTACAGCCTCCCCTGGGGTGAGGGAAAGGATTTGGACAGATCTGTTGATCTGCAGAGCTGATGACTTAGCACACATTCCTGTTTCCACGTGTGTTTATGTGAACAGCAGAGAGAGAAGATACTGATGAGGGCCCTAATCACATTGATCACAAGTGTATTTCCTTACACTTGTGATCAATGTGATTAAGGCCATCATCAGAGCAGAGTATATACTTATAATAATATTAAAAACTCCATCAAGTACCTGGATGGGACAAACGTTTAACTTAAAAAAAGATTGTATTTCTTAGAGTGCTTTGGTCATCACGAGTAAACAGATCTCTCATCATTAAAACACCTCATCATTCAACCATGTTGTATACAGTTGAAGCAGTCATATATCGTCTGGTCCTTTTGCTTCATCAGCTGCTGGTTCAGTGTTACATTACAACAGTCCTTCTCAAACAGTGGCACAATTTCAGGCGGAACATGCCGTTTCTGCTGTTTTTACTCTAACAGGATTCTACATCCTCTGTCTGCCTGTGTGCTTCAGATCAACCCTCACAGTTTAGACTGCTCCAAACTAGAAAGACAACAAGAAAAATATCCTAGATTACAAAGTCAATGCAGTCCTGAGGATTTAATACTGATCCGATTACTAATAATGGGTGATTTAATGTGGTTTTGATATTCAGGCTACAGCAAACTAGTTCACGAAGCATAGCCTCCATTACAACATGCAAACCTGTGGCTGATACTCAAATGTGGCCGATATGAGGGGAAAGAAGTACTTCATTTCTAAATGTAGCTGGTGCTGTTTATATACATGTATGGTTAGTAGTGCATTGGCTAGTTTTGTTTTGAGACAGTACAGTCAGTAGAATCTCGCCTTTCATCTTGCTTGTAGACACAAAGATTACAAGACGTTATTGTTGAAAGCCGATACAGTGCCGTTGATTCTTCTTTGTCTGTACAGTATGATTCTCAGACTGGGACAAGTCACCTCTAAAAGTGGCGTTTGTGGTCAGAGAGGCCGGTAGCACAGATGGGTCTCTGAGTTTACCTCAAACAGCTCTAATGACACTTAGCTCAACAATAAAGAGTTTAAAGAGAGACTCCGATGTGCAGTGAAAAGGCGGTATATAAATAAAGATTACTTACTTACTTACTTAAAGTTTAGAAGATAAACTTGGTCAAATTGGCTCCTGCATTCGGCAAACACTATGGGTGACGTCAGCGCTGGGTTTGTCCACTCCGAATGTATGGTCCATGGTTGTTTCTGGGCAGGTAACACAAGTAGAAATGCATTTCAAAACATTACAGAGAAAAGCAGAGACTTGGCTTTCTTTCATCTACAGTTCAATGTGCAGCTTGAAAGTGGTCAGTGTTGTCAGAGGGAGATTGTTCCAATTGTTTGTCCTTTTAACACAGGTTCCAATGTGTTTTCAAAAGATATTTATTTGTATATCAACCTTCATTTAACCAGGAAAGTTCCACTGAGATTGCCAAATCTCTTTTTCATTAAGAGCTAAACTCGCACTGCTAGGGTCACTTTTAATCATTCATTGTACATAATATATCTTGCACAAAAACATTTTTGTACACACTTTCTCCATTGTCAGATCAATAAAGTTTTCTTATTTTAGCTGTAGGGGAAACAGGAGCCACTGGAGGAGACCTATACAGACACAGGGGAGAACATGCAAACTCCACACAGAAAGACCAATCTATCATTCATCCACATACGTACAGTACAAACCAGAAGTTTGGACACACTTTCTCATTCGAGGAGTGTCCCTTTTTTCATGACTATTGACTGTAGATTCACACCCAGGCTGTGTAAGGACTGTTTGACCAATAAGGAGAGTGATGGGTGCTGGGCCGGATTACCTGGCCTCCACAGTCACCGGACCTGAACCCAATCCAGATGGTTTTGGGGTGAGCTGGACCACAGAGTGAAGGCGAAAGGGCAAACAAGTGTTAAGCATCTCTGGGAACTCCTTCAAGACTGTTGGAAGACCATTTCAGGTCACTACCTCTGGAAGCTCATCAAGAGAATGCCAAGAGTGTGCAACGCAGTAATCAGAGCAAAAGCTGCTACTTTGAAGAACAGAGAACATAGGACTTTTTTTTTAGTTGTTTCATACTTTTTTTTTTCTACGTACATAATTCCACATGAGTTAATTCATAGTTTTGATGCCTTCAGTGTGAATCTACAATTTTAGTAATCATGAAAATAAAAAACTTTGAAGGTGTGTACAAACTTTTGGTCTGTACTGTATATATTTATTGATCTACACTATTTGTCGATCAATCTATCTATTGATGGTACATGACAAGTATTTTGGTTCTTATTTAGCTCACAATAATTGGTTGCTATTAACAATAGGTTGGACATTTGATGGCAGTGGTAATAACTCGACAGACAGGTGTGACATGTGTTATGGGAAATGATGAGAAGATTTCATTGTGACATTTTTGCGCACGGACAGTATGCTGCTGCCCTTCTACTGTGAGGACGCTCTGGAACAAATCCGGTAAAATATACTTCAATTCTTTGCATGGTTTAAATGTGACATGTTTGTAATAGGTGAAGATTTTGTTTTTGACTATTCTGTGCGTGCGTGTGTGTGTGTGTGTGCGTGTGTGTGTGTGTGTGTGGTCTGTAAATTGGATTATATGATTACTCTCTGCACGCATGTAACTACCAATAATGATTTATGAATGTTGGTTAAAAAGTCCATGGAAGTGCATATATATGACAGATGTCTGCACATTCAGATGAAAAAATCCTTTATTTGTCCCACAGTGAGGAAATTTCAGTGGTGCATCACAAGCTATAGAACAGTAGGAAAGAGGAGCCCACTGCACATTTTAAATAGCTATACTAAGTAAAATAAAACAAAATCTCTAACTCTAGCATCAATAACAAGTATAACATCTTTATCTTGAAATAATGTTAATAAAAAAGAAGTGTAAAGGTTTTACATTTGGCAAAATAAGAGGTCGGTATACATTTTAGATGTTGTATACATTTTGTGATAGAACAGTTTTAGACATTTTTAACAATAATTCTAATCATATCAATAATATGTTTCATTCGTATGGTGTCTTTCTGGGCACTCCACCAAAAGGTACAAAGTTAAAAGGAAAAAAACGTAGTACTTGATGTTAAATTGAACATATGTGGTTTATGATACCAGAATCTTTGCCTGTGATGTTACACATGTTGGTTTGATCTGTGATCAGTGCTGGCTTTTACCTCTGTGTATTATACAGTATTATTCAATCATTATTTTCATATTGGCTTTCATTAACACAAAATTTTGGTAAGATTTTTTGTGAATATTTTTATAACAAAATAAAAAAAAAGAAATAAGTACAGACAGAATGCAACCCCACTTTGCTCTTTGATTGGATAATTGGCTTAAAAAAAAATCTAATGTATTGTAACTAAATTTGAAACTTTTGTTCGGACAAGGACCAAAATGATTTGAAGATTTTGACTATCATTTAAACATTTTGATTAGTAAGTAATGTTTATTTATATACCACCTTTCACAGACCAGAATCACAAAGCGGTTTACAATTGTTATTATTTTTGGGCATTTGTCCTCTCACTCCTCACAGAGATGAGAACAGGAGGCGCATGCCAGACCTATTGTACATATTTTTAGTGGTAGGGGAAACTGGAGCACCCGGAGGAAACCTACACAGACACGTGGTGCAAACTCCACTCAGAAAGGCCCTGGTACGACCGGGATTTGAACCCTGGACCTTCTTGCTGAGAGGCGAGAGTGCCATCCACTCAGCCACCGTGCCGCCCAATGATTATCATTTAAACATTTTGATTATCTGGCAACATTTTACAACTATAATGAAACTATTACATGCTTTAAACATTCTCTTTCTGTAGTTTCACAAACACTGATCATAAACATTATACAAAATTATGCTAGAGTGATGGCCTGCAAATTGTATTGTGTTTAAATTGTCATTTGAATTACACATTTTATTTGTTAATATGTTGGACCTTTTGCTGGCAGTATCCTAATGGGTGAGGCTCGGGAAAAAAAGTGTTTCAATTCGGTTAAGGAAAGTTACACTTTATTGCTGTGGCTGGTGTGCTTCACCATCTCCCAACATTGTTTAATTCAAAGGTTCCATCCATTGGCAGTCTTATTGTTTATTTTAGAGCACAATAAGAATACACAGTAGTTCAATCTTTAGTGCGATTCAGACAGAGCGTCTGAAGTGAACATAACAAAGTAAATACCAACATGTCGGTGCGTGTGTAATCCACAGTGACCATGGCGCTGCATCCAGGGTTCCTGTGTACTGTGGTTCTGCTCGCGTTTAGTTTTGTGAAATATGAGGCTCGTGAATTTTGGCTTCAGGTAAACGCACACAATCCATGCAAGTATGTCAAATATCTGTGTAAAATTATATTTGTTTTTAGGAGGCTACAAATACCGAATCATTTCATAAGATGGTGAAGAGGGCCACAGGTACTTTTCCTCACACTGTACATGTTTGACACTCACAAAACATGCATCGTTTAGGCCCTTTGAAGGTCCTTGCTAACAAAAAACTAGTGTCACTGATGTCTTTTTTCTCTGGTAATGTTATTGTTTTGGCTGAGAAAGTTTAATCAATTTATAGGGACATTATGTATTTTAAATGCAAATCAGGGTGAGGCTGTGTACTAATGCTACATTCACCCTCCACGGTAGCAAACATAGCACCCCATAAAACGTTATTCTATTATTTTTAGTTTTTGCCAACACAACGACAACAGAATATTTAATCGTCGTTCAGTTGAATGACCTAGCAAGTTTCCGGAGACTTTTGGAGAATTTATCATTGCCTTATATGATCAACGGCTCTATTCAGATCAATGATATCACCCCAACGACAGGTGCGTGCTCAAATCCATGGATTGCATGTTGTGTATAAACTATATTATATTTTCAATACGTTTTTACTCTTATCCCCAGTGTGTTCACCGAGTAATCTCACAGACTATGAGTGTCGCTGTGAGTCCGGGTACAGCTGGCCCAAGGAAGTATGCTCCAGTTATAATGCATGTAACACAACAGTCCAAGATTCATGTGGGTGCATCACTTCTATCCCAGCAGATGGACTTTCCTGCCAGCTCGCCACAGGTAAAACTTAAAAGTGGGGCCGATAAAGGTTTTCTGCTCTTAGATCAGTGGATGATTCTGCTTTTATCATAGTGTTAAAGTGAAAGTCAATCATTTTTCAATTTGTGAAGCTGAAGAGAAGTTCTTCAAACGTAAACACCAGTTAGACCCGCCTCTACAGATTCCTGATTGGATTATTTCAAATCCCTGATAGAAAGCTGAGGCCCCTCACCTTTGGTCTCATGGTTCTCCGGTTACGCTAAGGATGAATTAATGTATTTATGAAAAATACTTAATCTAAATGATACTATAGTAAAAATATGTGTTCTTTTCTAAATTAAACCTAACATTAGATTAGCTCTTTCTATGAACCTGCATTATTACAAACACACACACACTAATTTCCCACAGAGGAAAACAGGTTTGTGACGTGTTGGAACAATCCGATTGATTCCAGATAAACAATAACAACTTCCCTGAGTCAGCCACTGTTGTGTGCACTATACTATACCAGTGCAGTTTGTGAACATTCTTTGATCTTCAAAATAATTATTGAACATCACGTATTGTTTTTATGTTGTTTAAATACGAGTAATCTTTTCATTGTGACGTCAACTGCTGCAGAGCCAATGTCTACAACCACTACTGCACTGACAACAAGTGCCCCTGCAGAGTATGATTTATCAGTGACAGTCTCCGTCAGCGATGGAGAGCAAACCCGGATCATTTTGGAGAACATCAGGCAGATCCTGAGAACACTGTCTTACCCTTACCAAGTGTCCTCCGAGCTGCAGCTGTCATCAGTCAACATAACTACAGGTAACACATGAAACATTAACTAAATTACTTTGGAAAAAAATATGTGACATCCAAAATATGCACAGCTTCATATAACTTACCCTTGGGGGGTATAATCCATCCTAATATGTTACTGCGTCACTTTGAGGAAGCAACAGTTTGCAGAGATGCCCAGAAGAGAAACAGGCCATGGCGCACCTTTTCATTCACACACCCACAAAACAGTTGAATAGGGTTAGGGTTCCTTGGACAACACAGGTGCCAAAGATTCAGTTGTGAAGGGGTATACGGTGAGGAATGACTTGGAAGCACCAAACTGCTGCTCATCCAGGATAATTCTGTCCTGTTTCCAGTCCAGTCTCTCTCCTGTGTCCTAGACTGTTGTACTTTTTTGTGTAATGATTAAAGTGTAGAAGGAGGATAACTAATTTGGGGGATTTCCGTTTATCTGTTTAATCTCTCGTCTTTTAATTATAAGGGGAAAATATTGTCTCAATGGAATTAAATAATAATAAAGATGGTGGATCAAGTTGTACCAATAGTTTATTAGTCCATGAATTCAAACCGGTTATGCACCTTCAGGACATTCTTTGTCAAATATTATTGTTTTTGGCCTGCTTCACTTTATGTCAAAAACATAAAAATTCCCCATAGATAATATGCATTCTGTCCTAAATATGCTATTCCTGTTAATACCAAACTGCCCTTAGGCAAGACACTTCAGAGATCTTCCTTGTTTGAAGTGACCAAATACTTATTTTCCACCATAATTTACAAATAAATTCTTTAAAAATCATACAATGTGAATTCCTGGATTTTTTTTTTCACATTCTGTCTCTTACAGTTTAAGTGTACCTATGATGAAAATTACAGACCTCTGTCTGTATTTTAAGTGGGAGAACTTGCACAATCGGTGGCTGACTAAATACTTTTTTGCTCCACTGTATATGTATATATTATTTTGTTTTTGTTTTTTGTACATTCATTTTTGTCCTTTGGGACGAATAAAGGAACTCTTAGTATTGTGTTTAGGGTTCCATGATTATGATAAAAATATGGTTGTTTTCTTGAAATAACCTTCAAAACGATGTATGCCACATTATCCTTCATATTCTACTCCTTTACTGAAAATTAATGATAATAAATTATATTGTCTTTTTCCCACAGATTGAAGACGGTTGTGCGAAAACGTTAGACATGTGTACCGTAGTGGGTTTGAAGTTTAGGTAATAATTTCACATAATTACAACAAAGATCTAAATGACATGATTTTGACAGTAAAGATGCATGAGATTGATTTGTCTCCCTTTGACAGCCCCGGAAGTACAATAGTGGAGAGTAATATCAGCACGACTTCGCCTTCTGTGGACATAAAAGTAGTCAAACTAGATGTCATCAATGAAATGATAAAGACATTCAATATCATCACTGATGGTTGGCTGTTTTTCATAATTTTACTTTTATTATTTATGCAGAAACTGTGTTAATTATTTGATTTATTTCTTAGGGAAAGCTTTGGATTTTCAGAACAAGCCAGTTCTTTTCGGCAGAAAGGCTCGATTAGCTTGTGAGCCAGATGCAGACTTTAACAAAACGTGGATAGCAACATGGTTCAGAGATGGAATCAACATCACAGATCAACACACAGTTGAAAAAGATAGGGAAAATTCCATATTGACAATTGAGAAATTTTATACCACAGACAATGGTAAAGTATTCTGATATAATTGATTTGGCTTAAAAAGTATAAATCATTGTTTCAACAGAACTTATCAATTGCAATGAAACCTCTTTTCAGGAAATTATGAGTGCAGACTCACCAGTGGGAGCAACATATTCAGGCAAAAATCAACAAAACCACTGACTTTTGCCCCGCTGCCAGACATTCGTTTTAGTGCAACGCCTAGAACTAAGGAGTGCAGGGTGGGCTTCTCAGAGGTCATCGAGTGTTTTGTTCAGAATATCTATCGGGTCACTTTGGGTAATTCAACTGGTACGTATGTCCATTCTTATCAATAATTTTATCAAAAGAATAACCATAATATGACAACTGAAACTTTGCTTTTTAATTGCCTTTATAAAATATAAATTTGTAAGGCAAGGCAAGGCAAGTTTATTTGTATAGCACAATTCATACACAAGGCAACTCAAAGTGCTGAACAAAACAAGAAAGCATTAAAATCATAAATAATCACAGAACATTCAAAAGAACGATAAAAATATAAAATCCCTCAGTTGTATGCACAGCTAAACAGAACCGTTTTTAACCTGGTTTTAAACATTGTCAGAGAGGAGGCCTGTCTCACATCTTCAGGAAGATTGTTCCAGATTTTAGCAGCATGAATCTGAAAAGCAGCCTCCCCATGTTTAGTTCTGACTCTGGGCACTAACAGGAGTCCAGTCCCTGTGCTCCTCAGAGTCCGGGCTGGTTCATATGGGACTAACATGTCACTAATATATTTTGGTGCGAGGCCATGGAGAGACTTGTAACAAGCAGAGCTGTTTTAAAGTCTATTCTCTGAGCCACAGGAAGCCAGTGCAGGGACCTGAGAACTGGACTAATGTGGTCGTTCCTGGTTCTAGTCAGTTGTATACTAAGTTGTATATTTAGTTCCGAGTCCTGGATCAATAACCCAACTGTCTCTGGGAGAAAACCCAGTGGGAAAAAGACCTCAGGGAGGCCCAGATTCAGAGGCTTTTCACTTTTTCTCACTTCAGAGTTTTTCCTTGGTGATGCAGGAGGGTCTAAGAACAGTGGTGATGATCCAGGACACTCGATAGTCATTTCATGATTAAACGTATTTAAAGGCGCTATACCCGTTTCTGCAATGTTTGAATGTTTAGCACCGCCCCCCAACTCGCTCACAGGCTTCTCATTTCCCCTACGCTCTCATAACACGGAGCCACCTAGTTTTATTTGCGATCTGATACATATGCTAACATTAGCATTAGCGCAACTTGTAAGCTGTGCAACAATCACTGATGAAATGGTACTAAAGCAATGCACTGCTAACACAATATATAAGTAAAAGAATACCGCTAGTTTCGCGTCCTAATGTATTCATTTAAACATTAGAATATATTCTAATATTTAATTATAATTTATTATACAGCTCCTCACAGCAGCAGCACTCCATTGACTTGAATGCAATTCTTCCGATCATTTTTTCTTGATAACAGAACTCTCAAACCAATAATGACCGCAGCCCCAATGCAATCTCTGTTTGTAATTCAGGTGTGTAAAATACTGCCATTACTTTGCAAGTACAACAAGCTATCAGCGCCTGTCACTACATTGTGCAGTTTGTCTGCACACTTGTCTGTGTAGAGAAGCTAGCGGAGCTAGCCACGCTCAATAAACAAATACATATCAATCAATCAACACCATTAAACGTCAATCGGACAATACAGTATACATATACATCCTAAACACACATGCACGGACGATTTCAGAATTTGCTGTCAACGTTTTCATGACAAAAATACTGTTTTAAAGTGACAAAAAGCGATCGCGAAAAACCCGGAAGTTACCATGAAACAGCTAGCTAGCTTAGCTGTTACCTGCCTAGCACGTCCCGGTGAAACCTTTGGGAGCTAACTATTTTATTTGCAGTCATTAAATACATTTCTAATTATAAGGGTTGTCTAATATGTGTTCAAATATGTATATATTTTTTAATTTTAGAATTATATTCGAATTTTGAAGTCGAAGCCCTGGTGTTAAGCAGCGCTGTAGAGGCTAGAGGACGCAGGCTGTTCACTGCTCGTTCTGTGAGCGGAGAAGAACGAGCGTCCCGCTCAGACTCTACTCAGTACTTTTCACTGCCTGAATTTCATACACAGCTGAATCAATTACCTCAAGTTTTCAATTAAATTATGTATGATGATGCAACTTGTATGTAGTAAAAAGTATTTTTATGAACTACTTAGAAAAAAATAGCTTCTTTAAAAAGACTAAGTCCTGATCTCTATATTTTTATGTTAAGCCTTGGGAAAAAGGAGCATTGATGTCCAAATCGAAGCATGCCCAGTCAGTTTTACATTCACCTGTAAAGCAACAGATTATCCAGCGTATGTTAAGAGTCTGACATTGGAATTCACACAACCAACACAAGGTATGTTGACATACTTTAGATATAATATTTTCATCCTGAAGTATTTTAACGACTCGATTCTGATTGACATTCGTCTGCAGAATTTGATTGTAAGAGTAAGAAGTGGGGCCTCGGGAACGAGGGGGATCAGACGACCGGAGAATGTGATGAAGGCAAAGTGGGAGAAAAAGTGGCCACATGTTTGAACAACATCTGGGAAGAGGAAGACAATTGTGTCATTAAAGTGATCCAGGATCTGCTCAATCAAACACTGGTCTGTAAAGAATGTCTACTATGTTAAAAAAAAAAAAAAAAAAAGGTTTTTCGTATCATGTTTTGGACACTTTGCATCAGTCGCTCTATATGTTTGAAAGGCCATTTTGAAGCCCTTCATACTGGCATTACAGGGATACAAAAGGTTATGTCTTATTAGGGCTGTCAAAATGTGAAGAAACTTCTCACATTTCAATAACATAATCTCTTTAATACATGTTGTCAGCGCTAGTTCAAACTACAGTTTATCTGGACATAAGCACACACAGACATGCGTTAAAATATTTTGACGCATGTACGAAATCAATCATCCCAAAAATAACACTCAGAATGCCGCGGCCTCAGTCTCCTGTGTCTCCTCCGTGTCTGAATGGGCGAAGCGCACTCACTAAATTAAAGCTGGGGTCCCTAACTTTCCCGGTTCATGTTGGTTGTGCCCAAAAGTAAAATGTGAGCAAATCAAACAGATTTAATGACATTCTGCATAACAGACTGTGTTGAAATGTCCCTCATATGTAACAAACAATAGTTTTGGTCTGAGTCTAAACAGAAAGACAGAATGTTAATAATGTCAATGCCATTTTATGTGGATTTATTGTTATAATAAGCAAATGCAGTACATATGTACAATATGTTGTCATGTATCTTTCCATTCAAACAACCCTTTACAGAAATGGCATCATTTTGCCGATAGTTTGAAATGTGATTAATTATAATTAATACATTTTTCAGCTGTAATTAACTTGATTAAAAATGTTGATTGTTTGATAGCCCTAGTCCTCATTTAAGTCTGTAGTGTGTAGCAAATCATTTGCCGTGATGACTTTACAAACCAAGCCATGGGAAAGTTTTTAATTTTTGTTCACAGTTGATCATACTATTTTTTAGAACAGTATATTGTATTGTAAAAAGCTGTAAAGTTTGTATAAAATGCATGTGCAGTTACTTTTCAAGTGGCACATGGCACAGTGGTCGCAGCTTTGAATCATCTGCTCAATGCTGGGCCTTTCTGAGAAGACTTTTCATTTGCACTCCCCCAGTCTCCCAAAGCATGCTATAAGTTTAATCCACTTGCAGAGGTCCTGATCAAGCAAAGCATCAACATCTGGAGATGGGTCCCTGGGTGCTGCACTGTCAGCACAGTGGGATACATTTCAGTACTCTTAACCTACAAAGTGTATTTGTCTTAACCGTAACCACAAATATGGCCTGTTTCTGGCAAATGGTAAACAAGACAACATGACATTCACTTTTCACAAAAGTAATATTTAAAGGAGCAATATGTAATATTTGCATGTCAAGTCATCATTAAATGACCCGAATATTTCAAAAGGCGTTATTAAATCATACTCTTTTCGAAATTCATCTTTAACTGATAACAGTAGTTCAGCCGAGATATTTGATTATCAAAATTAGTTTTACGACCCGTAAAAGTTGTTATTGTTTTGATTTTGATGTCCTACCCTCCGCCGTTTCGCCAATCAGGAAGTGTCATGTAAGTCCGTGATCGGGTTGCCAGAACTCCGCGCGGCTCACTAATCTCAGAGGTAAAATAACATGTGGCGCAGAACTAAAAAAGGTCTTGTTATGACTCTCAAATCATTATCTCTTTTCTTATTATCTTATATTATCTCTTTTTGATTCGGGACTTTTACATGTTTGTCTAAAAAATAGGGAATAAATAAAACTGAAAGGTGATATCCTCTTGAGCAAACCCTGATGTTGATACGCTGAAGAAATATGTTCCAACATCCATTCTTCCCACTCCTATTTTGGACATCAATTGCTTATTTATTTTGCATAAACTATGTACAATTACATTGCTTTTATTTTGTTTTTGTTTTTTTATCTCAAATGTCCAAATAATAATAATAAAAAAAACATTAATCAAAACATTCATTCAGCATTAGCACGGCTGTCATGGCAATGTGAATGGAGACGGACAAACAACTGATAAAATAATTCCCTGTGTTTGCTGCTGGATTTGGTGTGAATCTGGCAACCTGAGTCAGGGAGAGTGGGAGAGGACTACAAAATATTGACTGTAACTGCAGTACCACTTTTGGCCAGATTTTTACATATTGTTCCTTTAAGGACATTTACTCAAATCAACTTCTTATCGGCTCTATACTTCACGTAAAACCAATGGGGAGTCCTAATTCCCATTCTGTTTCTCATTATGTTTTCTTGAATAGGATTTGGTGAATCCAGAACAAGTCCCTGACATACTGACGCACCTCAATAATGCCACAAATGAATTACAAGATAATGTGACAGAATCAGCCGCCACAATTGAAGCTATCGTATCCATAATGGAAAGACTCGCAAACATCTCCTTGGCTGTATCGGACAAATCAATGACGGTTTGTAATCATTTGTTCATTGTTTTCAAACAAAGTAGAACTCAAAATCAACGTATGTATACAGTAATACATATTTTACCTCTAACAGGGCTTTGTATTTGAAAGAGAAAAACTGCGTGAAATTGTTAAAAAAAATCCCTTTAAATGCCACATAAGTAGTACATGCATTAGTTTATTTTCTATTATTTGTTTTTGTTTATAATAAGTGGTTTAATAAAGTCATTACAATTGGAATCCAACTTTTTTTGCCAGAATCTTAGTGCCAGACTCAGACTCCTAACCACTGATTTCTGTTGCAAAACTCCAAAATCTGGGTGAAATGTGTTGCTTAGTTCAGTATCTACAATGTGTTTACATGATTTCTGCTGTGGGCAGTCTTCAAAGTGCTACAGTATAAGACCAAACAGAAAGGGCAGTCCTCAAACCAGTTTACAGTCAGTTGGACCCAAGTGGTGCATTCAATGTGATATGTGAGAGAGGTTTTAAAATCTCCATGTCTCTCACAGGCACCTGTTGCCTACAGGTGTGCAAAGCTTGTCATCTTTTCTGCAATTAAAAATAACAATATGTCAAGCAAGAAGTACAAAATACCTTCTTTATAATTACATTTCAGAAATTGTCTTTTGTTTTTCAGGAGATCTTAAACATATCCAGTATTTTAACTCTTGATGATGCAAAGTCCTCGTGGGATACACTCAACGCAAAAACATATACATCTTTGACACGGAGGACCAGGAGTACAGTGTCTCGTAACGCAGCCAGCTCCCGATTTTTGAACAATCTTGAATCGTACACAAGAATATTTCAGAATCAAACTGGAAATATTGCAGTCGATTTTATCGTTTTTAATAAAACAGTTTTCAGCGATGCTTTCCAAGAGGATTATGATGGCTCAGTGGAAATAGACATACCAGACACCGGGCTACAAAACAACTCTATTTCAGTGTTGACGTTTAAAACCTTACACAACGTCCTGCCTTCTATAAATCGAAATAATATATCCAACTTAACCATCAATGCTAGAGTTGCCCTTGTCCAATCCGCGGGAGTTAAGAATGTGTCCTTCACTTTTGACCTCCGAAATGAGTCTTTGTTTAGCCCTCTATGCGTATTTTGGAACTTCAGTCTATCCAGTAACTCTGGAGGATGGGACGACAAAGGCTGTAATCTAGTTAACACCATAAACTCGACAGTCATCTGCCAATGCAACCACTTGACGTCATTCTCAGTCCTGATGTCTCCCTATGCAAACTTTACCAAGCAACAGAAGAAGACATTGGAAATCATAACGTACTTTGGTGTCGCAATCTCGATCGCGTCCTTGTTGATATGCCTCGTCATCGAAGCCGTCGTCTGGAAGAAGATCCGGAAGCCAAACGTGTCCTACATGCGTCACGTTACTATTGTCAACATTGCTGTTTCTCTGCTTTTCGCCGACATCTGGTTCATGATCGGCGCTGGGATTTCCAAAGCTAAACATGCGCCTTCGTGCACCGCAGCCACTTTTTTCATACATTTATTCTACCTGGCTCTTTTCTTTTGGATGTTGGTGTCAGGCCTGCTGCTATTCTACCGTACGATCAATGTTTTTGGTAGTATGAGAAAAGGGACCATGCTGGCTATTGGCTTTACCATCGGATACGGATCACCTATAATTATCGCCGTTGTGACTGTTGCTTCAACTGCTGGACATAACGCATACACACAAATTAACGACGTCTGCTGGCTAAACTGGGATAAGTCCAAAGCTCTCCTCGCCTTTGTGATCCCAGCCTTGACGATTGTCTTCATAAACTTTTTGATTTTGCTTGTGGTCCTCTACAAAATACTCAGAAGAAGGAAATCGGCAACAGGAACAGATTCCGAAGAAAGGCACGTTATGGTAGTAATTATCCGCTGCCTGGCATTCCTCACTCCCATTTTCGGATTAACGTGGTGTCTCGGAGTTGCAACAATGGTGGTCAGAGAGGAGGACAAGAGTGGATATGGAGTTCATGTTGCGTTTGCATTTTTCAATTCCCTCCAGGTAAGTCTTTTGAATGTCTGAAAGTTGATTACAGCCAGTTGAGTTTACCTTCTATTCCACACCCAATACATTCTTATTAGCTGCACCAATTTGTTATTTCTTGTGTCCTGTGTCCTTTAAGATGGTCTTTCTTTGCCTGGAATGTCTATTATCTATCACCATATTGAGGCAAATAGCTTGTGCCACTGGTCAGGGCGCCGTATATTGTAATAAAACACAGAACAGTCCAGGACAAGGACTGACGAAACTTGGGTCTCGATTCAAACCGAAAGTGATCAGTGTTGAGGTCAGAGCAACATATTATCAATACTGATCTTTATTTATTTTTTTGTGATAACCGGAGCACCCGGAGGAAACCTACACAGACAAGAGAAGAAGCCACCAAGCCAGTTGCAGTTGAGCCTTGGTTCAGCTTAATTAATTAATGCGTAGAAAATATGTAGTCCTAAGAAATGTTCTTTGCGACAAACAGTGAAGAATAATTATTATGCACATGAGACAACAACAATCTCACGCACTTTCAGTCTCAGTTCATTTCCCAGTCCATCCAGATAGAACGAAAGAAGACAAAGCTGTTTTATATGTGCATAAGAACAGAGACATCCTCCCTTGAGATACTAATGACGTGGATGCTTAAGATATTAATACTATAGTATGAATGTGGGTCAGAATAAGGTGCTCAGTTCTTGCGATAATAATGTTTAGGAGCGATACAGATACAACAGAGGTTTCCATGGCCTTAAATTCTTAAATTCCTTAAATCTGACTCTTGATTATCCTTCGTGTTTTTCCTAGATCCAAAACATGTAGGTCCAATTCCAAACAGTAAGTTGTAGTAGTAGCAGTAGTAGTAGTAACATTAAAAAGTACTGGTTAGATTACTGTGGAACATTCCAGACAAAAGTAAGAAGTCTTGAGAAAAAGTGGCTTAGTGCACCTTTAAATATGTGAAATGATTGAAGTTAGCTATGACAAGCTAGCTATGACAGATTATTATACTCAACTGGCTGAAACACATCATATCTGTTTTCATACACAGTGCATTTACTGAAAATACTGACTTTAATGTATTCTTTTAAAGGGGTTCTTTATTCTTCTCTTTGGAACTCTGCTCGACAAAAAGGTACATAAAAAGTATGGAAGTAAATGGAAATTAAACATTTAATTTTGTGTGTGTGTGTGTGTTCCCATTTATGTAGGTGCGCAAGGAAATTACTGCCAAATCTATGACTTCAGGAGCAACAAAGGTACAGAGATGAAAAATTCTGGTTTCAGTCAAGCACCGTTTGTCTCATTGGCTGCTTCTTTTTTACGTTTTTGGTTTATCTTTCAGAGTACATCCGGTGGACAGACTGGGTCTACAAGTGGACTGTTTTCCAGGGCACGCAGAGGTATGTCAGAACAATAACTACTTTAGATTATTTGAAACGAATAACTGACTTTAAATGTTTTATGTATTTTGAATTTGATGTGTTCTTTTTCAGGTTACAACATTTCATCTAATGCGGATTCTTCTGTAACCAATACCTGAAGGCTGAGTAAATGTAGATGTTAAAAAAAAAAATGTATATGAGTAATATTTATTTATATAGCGCCTTTCACAGACCGGAGTCACAAAGGGCTTTACAAATGTAGTGGGCATTTGTCTCTCACTCCACACAGAGATGGGAGCGAGGTCGCCATACAGGAGGCCAGACCTATTGTACGTGTTTTTAGTTGTAGTGGTAACCAGAGCAACATGCAAACTCCACACAGGAAGGTCTGGAGGTGGGGTCGAACCCAGGACCTTCTAACTGAGAGAAAGTGCTATCCACCACCAAGGCTCAACATTTTACAATCACATCCCCTTTTCCTTTTTAGTTTCATATATTTCTCATGTGTTGCTCCTCAAATTCTCTTAGGAACCACAGCGGAAGAGACAAAATCAATATATTGATCATTGAGGAAAAAATGCATGCTTCCAGGCAGTAAGGTGCTTCACTGGGTTCGAATCCAACCTTGAATCAGGGCTTTTCTGTTTGGAGTTTGCATGTTCTCTCTGTGTCTGCAAAGATTTCCTCCAGGCGCTCCGGTTTCTACTACCTCTATAAACAGTACAATGAGTCTATATGAGAAAGTGACGGAGGGCGATTTTCGGAGGCTTTGATGCACCAGTGTATACTATTTGGTGTCTCTTGTGTTTGTCAATGGCAATACAAGAAGCGCTTTGAGTGACCTTGATCTATGAAATGCGCTATATAATTACAGATTAGTCACACATTTTAAAGTTTTAAATTCTGTTTTTTTCATTACATTGGATGTGAGACAAAATATGGATCCCTGAAACTTTATAAGAAATGTGTAGCTGTGTTTGTTAATATTGTATAAATAAGACTAATAATATAAAAACTACATATTTTACATATTTGTGCAATGGCTTTATATTTCTGTGCCAGTTCGTGTTAATTGAAGCATTTCTTGAAACACTGTGTTTTCTGTAAAGGAAAGTATCCAAATGTATTAAACTGTACTTTTGCTGAAACTTTTGGGAGAAAGTCATGTTTGTCGTTGTTTGCCATCGAGCCTCAAAGGAATCTTTCATTAAAGGTGTGAAATCTGTGCTGTTGACGTTACAGACATTCAGGGAGGGAGACAAGGTGTTGCTCACGAGACCGGTTTTTGTTTTGTGAAGGAACTATGTGCACAATTAGCAGCTCTTATGTAATACAAGGAAAACATTACTCCTTTGCTGCAATGGGGGAATTACACAACCATTTACCAAGAGCAAAGCGGTCTCCATGGACAACTGGCAAAAAAACAGAATCTTGTTAGAAATTACGAGGCTTTGTTATGCACGTTTAAACAGTAGTTACTTTCATCCACTCATGCTTTTTTGCTTATCACATTCGTATTATCATTTTTATTTTTTTCTATTTTTTTATTATGCAACATTTACACAAACAATACAATAACAATAACAACATAAAAGTCAGAAAGATAAAAGACTGATGTTGACAAAATACAAAACAAACAAAAAATATACAACAAATAAGACAATAACAAATCAAGGAAATTAGTAGTAACTGAAGGAGGTATTCTGTGATTGTTTGTGTACGTGTGTGTGTGTGTGTGTGTGTGCGCGTGTGTGTGTGAAGGTAATTGAAATACAGATACAGTATTATTGTCATCCACACATTATCACCATCGCCACCAATAATAATAATCCACATAAATCCTCATGATCAAAAACTATTTGAGTCTTTAATTGGAGATTATAAATAATTATAATAACAACAATCTTATTAATAATAATTATCATTTTTGATCCAACTCAGAAAATGTATCGTTCAAATTTAATTCATGGCTGTACTTGAAACCAATATAGGAGAAAGATTCATTTCATGCCTTAGTTTGTTATCGTATTTCAATGATTATGGCTGGGATTATTCTGCCCATCAGCCCCAAAAGTATACCATACATACATATAAATATTGATATAAAAAGCTAATAAGTACAAGAAATAATGGTCCTTGGGTAATCAATCATCTGTCCTGCATCTCAGAGAACGAAGTCTTCTGCCTGGATAAGCTGGAACATGGATTTCCTAGGATGGCTGTATATTCAGATCGCATAATGTGTGTTTCCGTCACAGTGCCTGATAATGCATTGAAACTATACTGTTCCTCAACTGTGTGTTTAATACAAAATAAAACCACTGGATGGCAGTTGTCTCCAAGCTATTATGCAGTGCAACGTAGCTCTCACACTGTGAAACTGCAATTGAACTTGCAAAAAGATAAAGTTTATTTTATTCAGTTCTGCAAGTTAGTAAGTAAGTACATTTTATTTATAGAACACCTTTCACAGATAAAAATCACAAAGTGCTGTACAAGGTAAAAGAGGATATGTATATACAATATAAATAAGACAAAAATAGAAAATAACATAAAAACGAGAAATTAACCAAAAGCTGCCCTAAAAAGAAGTGTTTTTAGTCCCTTTTTAAAAGCATCGGCAGAGTTGACCACACGGAGGGACAGAGGCAGGGCGTTCCACAGTCTGTGGAGAACTAGTGCAGGCAGAGGGAAAAACACACTGAGCAGCTTACAGTGTATATATTGGTCAGTTTCTTTTCAAATTGTGGAGATGGAGAAGAGGTTAGACCCGCCCCTAAAGGTTTTCAATTGGACACAAATGATTGAAATCCTTGATAGACAGCAGAGGCCCCTCACCATTGGTCTAACTATTCTCCTTCATCAAATATTATTGCATAGTGATGGTTATGCCAAAGGGAGGAATTGTTTAAAATATATTTCTATGGAAAAATACCAAGATGACCCTACAGGGTCCTATGGTCAAAATATGTATTATTTTAAAAATAATTTTCATTAGTACACTTGAAATTGCAGGTATCACCTTTAAGGCCTTTGTGTCTAAGTTAATCCCATTTTTTACTTACAGAACCTTGTTACTAAAACAAAAGTTACAACATTCAGGAAACCTAAAATGGAACATGTGGGTTTGGAGAAAAAAATATGAAAATATTATATATTTCAATATCACTTTTTATTTCTTGCTCATCAGGATCAGGACTAGTGCCATGTAGGCAAAAGACGCTCTTATAAAATCTTTCACTAATTCTTGAATTAATAGTAGCTCACCATACAGTAGACCATAGTAAATACGGCACATGTCTAAGATGTCTAAGGTACTCCACTTTTGAAAGTATTGGAAACAGCAGCAACTCCCAGAAATAGTTCTGAAACAGTTTTTTTGTGCTTTACAATTGATATTTTTGTTGTTTTTTCTAGGTGTAAATTTGTATTGTGTATACAGTGTTGTTTGTATTGATGGATGTGTTTCTGCTGCTGAACCTGAAGTTATCCTAAGCGGGATCAATAAAGTATCTATCTATAATAGAATAAACAACCTTCACTGATTTACTTTCTCAGCAAAAAATCTGAATTAACAATGGAAACTTTAAATTAACATAAGTTGTGTGGAAAAAACTGATAATTCATTATTCTCACTGTGAAGTTCAACATTTAACTTTCTGATCTGGGGAAAATGAATGACCTAAAAAAGTAATTTCTGCGCAATAATTAAAACGAAAATGTTACGATATCACAAAGCTTTGATTTTACGATCTGCAGATTTTGCTAAAGGGTTTTTTTTTTACATTTGAAACTTATCAGTGAGTCGTTTTGAAGAAAGAAAATGTCCACAAAGCAGATGCAAAACCAATTTGCCTCAGTTGACTTTGCTAATCAAATCTGTTACAAAAGAAAGATCAAGGTTTTGGCTGCTCTATAAACTTGTTTTCTCTATACTTCCTGATGAGAACAGTTCATACGATGTACATAAGAAATAAGTGTTACCTGGAGTTCTTCACATGTTTGTTAAAAGATCAGAAACAGGACATAGATATATGGTTTTTGGAAGTTTACATTAATAAAAAATGGCCACCGGAGGAAAAAAAGCATCAAAACACAGCCCTGAGAAAAGGAGCACGTCCAAATGGTGCAATAGATAAATGTTAGATAGATAAATAGATGTTGTGAGATACAAAACAGTCAAACTATTCCCCCCCATGACAGCAACAGTGTTTTCTAATATCAGGTCAAATCAAATTCATAACATGATATGTAAAAATGCCAAACTGAAATTAAAATTGTACTACCTCCAATGCCGGCTTAAATCTTAAAAACTGAAATTTTGTTTTGACTAAACATTTAAACACCATACCAGTATAATTGTATTTTATATTATGCAGCCTGTATTCTTAACTGCCACATCGGAAAATGCCTCAGTGATGTCAACAGTGAACTTTAGGAGCCAAAATGGAAGAAGGCTTTTAACCTTCTTCCATTTTCCGTTGACAGCTATTATTAGTAGTGTATTAGATCATTGATATTTTTTTTATTAATTAAGGCAGTGGCAACACGCTAGAAGTTACAACTCACATCTGTGACATTCCCCTTGTTGTCTAGGAAAGAGCAATCTACATGTCGTAAATATTTTGTGATTATTTATCTTATTAATACATTTTCTGCTTTTTTATCTCTCCCTGGGTTGCAGGGGCAGCCCTCCAAGCATAGGGACTTTCATATTCATGCACACTTGCTTGTCTGCAGCTTAATAATGCCACTGTCCAAGAGGTTACAAGGTGCATCAGCGTTAATGTTTGGAAGTTGGCTCGACCTCCTGAAGGAGATGCAGCATTTGCTAATCAAATGTCCATGGAAAATGGAAAGTTAAGGCTCAGTGCTGGGCCACCAATCTGGATGGATGGTGACATGTTTTTAATGCAAATTGACTTTAGAGACACTGTCATACGAACAGCCTCAGACCGGCTCTCTCAACCTCTGGAGGAGACAGCTACACACAAACTGAACCTATGTTTCAACCTCCTGACTTCTTTGCTGATGTTAGCTAACGGTAAGATGTTTATTTTTTTATAATATACATGGGGAAAACATGGATCTTGAAGCTGGGGCACCTAACTTTAATTAATGTAACTAGTTTCTGGCTCGAATTTGGTTCTATCCCTATATTCTTATACCTATATATTCTTATGCAAAGACTGGCTCTTTCTTACAAGTACACAAAATATATCAAGTTATCGAATGTTTTGAGGGCCTTGTGGTTGTGGTCTTACTTATTCACAAAACATACTTTTTTCGAGACTGTTGGGACAATCTAAATGTATTATGTATGAAAGAAAAAGTACCCCACTGTGGGACAAATAAAGGATCTTAATTCTATGAATAGGTCTGACATAAAATTCATTTTGGACGCTTGTTGTGCCATTACTATTACAAAACTATTACGTAACCAATAATGCATCAGTAACATGTTTGAGTGGAATCCAAACAAACCACAAACACAAATGGTTTTGTAGTGAAAAGCTCACATTGAAATAGAACAACACAAGAGTAACATAACTTTGTTTATGAGTTCGACAAATGTGGGAGCAAAGAGGCAGCATTCTAATGTTAAATGCCATTTTTACATCATCTTTTGCAAAATGTGTGGGTACCAGGTGCATTATGATATCCCCCAACACTCAAAGCATGTGCAGCAGAATACAAGTATACAAGAAGTAGACAAGTGAAAGACATTATGACTACTATTAAGTCTTTGTGTTGTGAACAGAACAGGTTGTGGTTGTGGTTGTTACAGACCATTGGTTTGAGCTACATGCAAATTATGCAAATAATCAGCAGCTCACAAGAAATTAACATCATCACTCTATGTAAGATACAAAACTGCTCGAAACAAAAACAAATAACCGCAGAGCTTTTGGATTCGCGTAATATTGTAAACGAGTTAAAACGAAAACATGTAAAACTCGTCGGTCAGCTATTGTTCACAACTCTGTCTTGATCTGTTTCAGTGAGCACTTATTATTTGCTGAGACAATCCATTCCATTTTTAAGAGTGGCTTTTTATTGTGGTCAGCCTATGGTGCAGTGGTTAGCGTTTGCGCCTCTCAGCAAGAAGGTCCTGGGTTTGAATCCACTTCCAGACCGTTCAGTGTGGAGTTTGCATGTTCTCGCAGTGTCTGCATAGTCTAATCTTGACATGATGAAAGATGATACTTAGTCCCGCAGTGGGGAAATGATGAGTTTGCTGGAAAGAGCGAGGCAGAGTTGCAGAGGACATGGAAGAGCTTGGTACCTGCATGAGTTTGTATTGTTGAGTTTCAGAGACCTATATCTTCGGTCTTGAGGTCTAGAATGTGAAGATGGTAGATGAGAGCCATGCCTGCAGGCTTAGTAGAAAACTCCTTATCCTTATGGGGATCATACATGCCACACCAGTGAGACACCAGCAAGAAGTGTCTGATTGTTCAAAGAAAGAGCAAAAAGTGACACTAAGTAATACATTTTTGAATTAGAACGACACTACATACAGTATATTCGGTGTTTGTTCCCATGACTTGGAGGCAGCTACTCAGAATGTCCGGTTGTTTGGTGCAAGCAGCTCATAAATGGATCTCACCTTTTGTGCTGAAAAATAATGAGTTCACAAAAGTAAGCATGAAGTCAAAAGAGTTGATATTGCACAAAAATGACTTTAAAAAGTGGTAACAGATTTGCTCATCCTGAGTTTTAATTTTGTTTCTTCCTGGTTCTAGTCAAGACTTGAGCTGCAACTTTGTGAAAATACTGCGGCTGTCTAACTATCCCGGCCTTTGACTTTCTCAGGTGTGCGTCCACTTGGCTAGTCTCAGGATCAACCAGTGAAGAAGACTTAGATTTTTGCCTTTGGGTGTCAATGTCTGTGGTTCTACAGGGGTCTAGAGCTCAGAGATATAGGTGCTGTGGAGAACTCTAAAAACCTTATGAGAAGATATCAAACGAGTTTTTCCTGACATTACAGGGAGGGCATGCAATGGTCAATTTCCCCATAAATAAATGCTAAAGTTCCTTGACATAAAAATGACACATTCGGCTGGGTGAACCACAGATATCCCATTAATCCTCCTATTGAAATTACACTCACGATAGAAGGCGCATTTGATTTGGTTGTTTTGTCAAAGGTACAGAGTCCGAGAGTTAAATTACTCTTAAATAATGAAAATCCATTCTGTTTTCACTTGTTGCACAGGGTTTGGTTAATGCTGCTTCTCAATGTGTTGTTTTAAATCCATCAGCATGGTTTTACAAATGGATCTTAAAGGGCACTCTACACTGTTGTGTCGATCGGCTGGAGTTAAAGTGGCATGCCTTTTCTCACAGAATTACCTGTGGATCAGTGGAAGATGTCTGCTTTTGTGAATGTATAATTTTGAAACATCTATTAAGTATTAAGCAAAAGATTTTCCACTTTAGATGTGGATCAAAAACATGTATTTTTCAGTCCTCCTTAAAGGGCATGATATATCATATTTGACTACAACTTTAACAAATATGATGGTATTTAGTTCCTGATTGTGCAATGATTATATTGTGTGATTACATGATTCATGATTACATAATACTACGGATCCTCGTTATACAGAGGATGCATAAAGTAACATAAAAACATTAATTTGACAGATGAAAATGGTAAAAAAGTAAAACGAAACTATGGCTACATCATAGATGATCGGTCCTTAGTGTGACGTCATCATAGAACTTCCTAGTTTTCTGCAATTCAATTATTCTTTTGCAAAACAGAGAAGTGGCATTTCATAAATAGTGAAAAAGGCTTATGTATTTGTTCTATACCAAGTAGTTTTGTGAAAAGCCAGATATATTTCAGTGCAATGCAAGTAAAGTTTTACCCATTATCGTGCAAATTCTTTAATATGTGCTGCTCATAACAACACGTGTTATTTGACACATTTTGAAAAACAGAGATATTTTCAACTGTTGGAAAAGCTAAACTCTTCTTTACAAACTACTTCCTGTTTGGCACTGTTGTGGAATATCTGAACAGACCAAGAGCTTTTAAACTATGATTATAATAACGTTAACAACCCAGAGCTGTTGTGCAATCAAAATGTGAGTTTAATTTATCAGTAAATGTGCACATATACAACGAAAAAGTACCACGTCACCCAACCCACCTGGCAGCGCTCTGAATTCGCCTGCCCCAAAGGAGGAAATTACCAGACATTAAATAGACAAGAGAGAGACATATCTACTCTAGATATTAAACAAATGAAGTTATGGTTGATATGCAAAACGACTTTTAACGAGCGAATTGCTTAGTGCTGCTTTAATTCTGATACAGCTCTGGTATATAAAACAATCTAGTTTGGCAAAGTACATATAGTCCTTTGACACAGATATTGCCAAAAGCATGCTTCCCATCTATTGGCTGACCTCACTGCCAGCACAGAATAACAGATCATATGTATCGTATTTGAATCAAGGAGGATGTTGAGAATTAGTTAATCATTTATTCTAATAAGCATTTAATGTTAAACCAGACAGGTCAGATTCCTGTAACAGCACAAATCTTGCATGTATGTTTAAAATAGTTATTTTTCCTCCAAATAAAGTCAATAATTAGACAATATTTGGAGGTCTTCAGTCATAATTTCCCCCCATTTCATGTCGGGGAAGGCCAATCTGTGTCTGCGGTGGTGTGGGCTGCTCATCACCCTCTGCAATAGTCCAGTCTGCAATGCTCACTCCGCAGACAAAAAACAAAGAAAACCTACATATACTGTTTATATTGAACACACATTTTTGCATGCACTAAAAAACAGGCAGAGAACTCATGCAAAAGAGGTTCCACTGTCATGAATATTTTGAATATGAGCTATGAGCCATAAGCATCGATCAACACCAAGGCTTGACATCGGTCCCAGTTCATTTCATGCATTAGTTTTACATTTTACTACAAATTATATAATTAAATGGACTTTGTTACTATGTTCCCCTGTTTTTATGGTTTTTGTTATATATTTCTGAAAGAGGGAATATCTGCCGTGTCACAGCGGTATTGAAATGGGATCAGTGCAGAGAGACGGATTATCCCTTCTAAGTGAATGTAAATCGAGATGAAGTCAAGCTTGTCTCCTTCCACATTTGTGTAGGACAAATTTGGAGATGACCTCAGACGGTGTTCAGGACTACTGCCTCAAATGTTGATTTAGGTTCAAGGGCATGTGACAGGTTTTCATTATTCTTTTCTCATTTTGATCTATTTCCCTGGAATCTCATCTGATGGTAATACATATGACAACCATAAAGTCACAGTTTGTGAAGAAAAATGGGAAGATGTTGACATTCATGACTTCGTCCAATCCCTTTTCAAGCGATGTAAAGATATGTGTTGTGAATGTTCCTAATAAGTACAATAGATACAAGTAAAAAAAATAATAATAATAAAAACGCTTCCAGGAAGTAGAGCAGCTTTCTAGAACTAATGACATCACGCTAAGGGTAGGCATGAGTTTTCAAACAAACATTTTTCCATTTTCATGATTTACTCAACTACATAAACATATACACATATTTTTTTCATTTGGGGAGTTATGGTTGTGTTGCTATGGAAACAAGCTGGAACAATAGCAGTGTGAAAAAAATACATAATGGAAATATTAGTTGAACTTGCTGTTTGTAAAATATGTCAAAAAGAGACTTATGCAAAATGTCATTAGTAAATTTTTACACATTTTATGTCACAAGCTGGGTCTATGAGTTACTTCTCTGTATCTATAGTCTTAACAGGTGTAATCCCAAAAAAGTTAACATCGCAAAATCTTGTCTTTTAACTTCTATTTAAAATGTAGCTCCTGTTACAAACCAAGACTTTTTTAATATCTGTGCTTTGTCTCTGTAGGAAAAATGTGGACCACAGGATTCCATTTTCTCATTGGTGCTTGTGTTTGCTTCTCTACTCAGGTAAATCAGTATATTATGAAAACAGTTTATATATTATTACACAATTATACATGATGTTTTGTAAAGTATATGCAATAACGCTTTTTCTCATCTATGACAGTTGTTACCTTCATCGGCTGAGTGTAAGTCCATTTTCACTCTTCCTAATATGTTATTTTCTGTCTCATTGTGTTTCTGACAAAATCAATGTAACAGAATGGAGTGGTTGTTACAGCAGTCAAATAGTCCTCTGCAATTACAGCTATGCATGAAAGTTTAATGACGGATGAGGTTTTTAATAGTTTCTATTGTCATTTTCCTTTAAAAATAGAATACACATTCATCTCAAAATGGCTTCACACATTATAATGAGTGAAGAAATATTTGTTTAGTAGTCAGAATCAGATTGTTTGTGGATCTTGAAAGACAAGTTGATATACCTTGTTAACATGCTCCGGCTGCAGATCTGCGAGCCATCTTCAGATCTGTCACCTTCCTTGGTGATGTGTCATTTATCAGCTGATGTTAGTCCCTGAGAAACCTCTTTAACCCTGGTCCGTGTCGTTATGATGCTATCCTCACAGAAGTGCATTGACAGTGCAAATCCACACAACAACAAACACCACCAACATTCCTTCAACAAAAAAAGCGTAAACATTTAACTTCAGCTTCTTTTGCTTGTTCAGTATGTAAAAAACACATTTCTTGTTGCAACTAATTCAAATCCCCTTTGAGAATTTTCTGAGGCCTGAGTTAGATAGATGAATTGATCAATAACACACTAAGAAAGGGCAAGAGCACTGGTGTCTGATGTCTGGTGCACACTGGGGTGCTTTTGCACAAGTATTCCCATGTGGTTTTACTGCAAATGGCAAATAATCTGCATCCACTTTGCATTGATGTGTCACTCTAAATATTTGGAATATATATATATTTTTTCTGCTTTGTCATAGCAACCCAATATGTCGCTGAGTTGATGGTGGAAAGTAACGTGACTTTGGAGGGGCAGACCATTTTGACAATTCTGCAAAACATCACCGGCCTCAAAGTGCAGGATGGGACCACATCGTATGATGTCGTCATTAACCAGACTGAAAGCGTCGGAGGTGGGGCATCTGATTGCGAGCAAAGAAAAAATCAAAATATCAATTTGCAGTTCTGATCCTATGATTATGATTAGTTAAGGTATATGATAATACTGGGATAGTCCCGAACAAATCTATATCCATGGAGACAATGTATATGGCATCTATGGTTTTTATTTTAGAGGGACAATAAACATGAACAAACAGGAAAGATGCATTGTACCAGATTATTGCAGAAGTTTCTCATTTATGCCTAAATTTTAAAAAATACCAACAAAATATTGATATGCTTTCCCTAGAAAATTGCGTGGTTTTTTTTTTGGGCTGTATCTGATAACTCATTTAATAATTTTTTGGGGTTTTTTTGCATTCCCATTACTAACAATTACAATAAACACTTTCCCTCTTTTCTTGCGGTCTGGATACATTTACCTTCGGGAATATATTCTAATGAGTTATTATCAACCATTACATTTCCCTCAAAGTCCATAACAAAACTGACCGTCATTTTTAGATGTAGTCACTCGTACATGACCGTATCTTTCAGAATGCCTGGTTGTTGGATTGGAAACGTCCTGTAACTGCTCTGAGGGTTACATCTGGAGCAATGAAGTGTGCTACAATTACAACTGCTGCCGGGAGCTCACTTGCAACCAAAATGTGTCCTACCTGAGTCCGCTCTGCATCCCCAAAGTCAAGAGTGAGTAACAGCACATGTACAAGGTCAATTTGAATTATTTTGTAAGTACTCGCTGCTAAAACAACACCAGTGCAACCTGCAAATATGGTCTAAATTATGGCCGTATAATTACTGTTCATCAGAAGAGAAAAATTAGGTTGCGTTCATGTGACATCACAACCTTCCCATGTGCTACAATAGTTCATTAATGCATGATTCTTGGATTTCAAATACACATTTCCCAGTTCAATATAATGTAACTGGTGGTGGCCGTGGGTTCAATCCCGTGTTGGCCTGGGCCTTGTAGTGTGGTGTGTTGGTGGATTTCCTCCAGGTGCTCCGAATAGGTAAAATCATGCAGTGGGCAGATTTAGCTATAGGGACAATAAAGTAACAAAATAATATTTGTCTTTCCAAGAAAATATCTTGGAGCACGGGCAAGCTGTCCATTGCACAAACGTGTGATTTCCCCACTGTGGGACTATAATGATATCATTCATTCATTCTTTTGTTCATTAAAAAAGCTCAGTTGCTTTCACACTTGAAGTTCCTCCTCCTCTGGACCTCACTGTTATGTTTGTTGCAGTTTACGTGAATGGCTCAGTGACAATGAACGAAGAGGAATGGGCTTCAGGACATGAGAGCATTGTAAGTTTCATCCATGTAAAGTTGATGTTCAGTTTGATGTACTACCCCAAGCTCAAATCTGCTCTTGCTTTTCTGCAGCTTAAATCTGAATTAGAGAGACTCAACGGCTATGACTCACTGAACGTTACAAGGTACAGTAACCATCTCAAATGTTGTTCATATCTTTCAGCAAGTCATTTATCAGCATGTATTTTGGACAAATGACACTTTTGGTTTTCAGATCCAGTTCACCAGTTACCTTTGAAGTTGAATACAGTGTCGTTTTTAAGACCTCTACACTTCAGGATGTTGTTGACACTCTTCAGACCAAGCTGAAAGCGTTCATATCAGTACAAACCCTAGGTCAGTCCATTATAATAATCTGCATCACTCTCTTTGTCTTCAGTTTATATTTTAATGGTTGATAAACTGTGGCTAAGTTGTAACAGCAGCAAGCCTGTGGTAAGCCTCTCTGCGAAGAGCCTTTCTGAGTAGAGTTTGCATGTTCTCCCCATGTCAGCATAGGTTGGGTTTTGGTCGCCACAGTGACGGTGACTCAGGACTAACCATCAATCTCTATGAATTTATAATCTGAATGGATTCACATCGCAACATACCAAATCCTTGGTCCTATATTCTTTAGTTTGTACATAACCTCCCTGATGTCTGTCCATAAATCAATCTTCACAGTTCCAGACACAGTTGTACATGTGTCTGGAAAGCATTGTACTTCAGTCAGTAAAAACTAAACAGGATTCAATCTGGTTTAAGAAGTCCTGTTTAACTCCGAACACTAAGAAAGCCATGTCTGTTTCTCTCTCTGAAAGGTCCCCACCACACCACTCCAAATTCAAATAAATGAGGAATTTTTAAAAGAGGTCTTAGGGGAGAGATTTCTAGTTCTTGATTTGGACTCTCAGGTGAACGTGAAAAGCCATGTTGAAAACCCTGTAAAACTGTTTGCTTCGAAATTAAAAGAAAATGTCTAATCCGGGTGGTAATGTCGGTTGTGTCTGTTGAGTGATCGGGTTTATTGGTCATGGTCATGTGGGATTGTTTCAACCTAACTTTAAAGCACTATGTGTTGCATTTAGTTTGAAAAGCACTACACCAATAAAATGTGATGGATTGATTGATCAAATACAAGCCTCAAAGTAAACAGATTTCAGATCGTCAGGGCGCGTTCACCCTTTTTGGTATGGTTTACTCTAACCACACCAATTCTGGTTCACTTGGGGCAAAACTGCTTTATTTGTGGATATAAAACCATGGATCATTTAGTCCCAAGTCAGTTAACATATTTTGAAATGAATTTGTGTCGCATTTTACCCCAAGTGAACAAGTGTTGTGCCGGTTACATTACACCAGGCCAGTGTGAACACACCTTCAGGATTCCATCACATGTGGCAAAGAATTCTTTTTGAAAATGTTTAAAAGTTATTTGTCTAATAACTGCACATTGTGTCATTCTACCACAGGAATGGTAGAGATTACCCCCCCCCCGGAGGAAGAAGTGTGCTATGAGTCCTACCCGTATCTCAAGTGTACGTTTGGTGAGGCCACAGACAGAGCCGGCTGGAACATGAGCACCACGGATAAGCGCTTTGAGCTGAATGATGGAACCGTGGTGAAGCTGAACTACTACTGCACCACGCGCGAGTTCCCTTCGTGTGTTGCCGTCACGCTGCAGAAAGTAACAGGCTCCTGGGAAGGCAAGAGCATGTTTTTTTTTTACATTTATACACATGGTTTTGTATAGCTTTAGAGTTGCCTTGTGTATAAATTAGGAGTGTGCTGGAAAAAAAATATGCATTTTTTTAATTTATGTTTTATTTTTCAAAGTAGATACATAATTGATTTTGGATTTAGAAAAAAACATTTTTTTTTTATTAATTGGGATTTTATTTTCTCCCTGATTTTTTCTAATCAAAAAATATCATTATATATATATATATATATATGCCCGAAGCCCCCGCTGAAAGATCACGGCTATGCTCACACTCACAGAGCCGCTGTCCTCCTGACTCACCACCTGCAGGGGGATGAGGGGCTATGTGACTTGGGTGGCATCTCTGGTTGGCTTGATTAACAATTCAATGACTGAGCACAAGGGTCACATTTAGAAAAGAAATTGTAAAATAAGGAGATTCTTTATCTTTTGGCAAATTAGCTTCATGTTATTATAAGTATTAGGACTTTAAAAAGAATGGATAAAGAGAACAGAATCTCTTTATCCAGAGAAAGAACCAGACGGACTTAGAGGAAGTCGCTGCTATTGTGGCTTATGGGCATTGGCGGGCATTGGCGGGCATTGGCCGCATTGGTGGGCCTCCGCCCGCTCAGGTCGCGTGAGGCACGGGAGGCAAATCAATCATGATTTAATGACGACTTAATTTGTTACTCTCCATGTCTTTCGATGTACTTCTTGTTGTCTGATTACCTGCCCTGCCCTCCTGCCTGCCCTCATGTGTATCAACTGTGTCTTGTTAGTCTTGTATTCAGCCCTGTGTGTCCCTTCACTCCCTGTTCCGTCATTATCATTTCCCGTCTGTTTCTGTTCTTGTTCTCGGTCCCTGTGTTTTTGCTCTATCTTGATTTTGTATTACTTTTAATGAAAGTTTTGTATTTTGGGTCTCGTTGTTTTTCACTCCACGTGACGCTTCTGCTCCGTCGTAAAATTCAGCATTGATAAAAGAAAATTTTTTTAATGAATTATTGTCTATAAATATATCAAATTGTAGCGAGTTATGTATTGTATTGCGTCATACTTTTTTTCTCTACTTTTTTCTATTGTGGATTGAAATCTATCAACTATAATTACATTTCAAACAATTGTAGTCTTGTCACACAAATGATAATGAGCAAAAAAAAGAAAAAAATGGTATGTTGCCTGTCCCTTTCTCAAAACGTGTACAAATTAAATGTGAAAAAATTATGTCAAGATTGTATCAGCAGGTTCTGAAAGATTTACAGCTCTCATATGAACTGTGCTATACAAATAAACCTATCTTACCTCTTTGTATGCATGTGGAGTATCAGCACCCTGTCCCTGACTCCGTAAAAGCAGGACTTAGGCTGTAGATCCAGGAATGAGGCTGTAGATCCAGGACTGAGGCTGTAGATTCAGGACTGAGGCTGTAGATCCAGGACTGAGGCTGTAGATCCAGGACTGAGGCTGTAGATCCAGGACTGAGGTTGTAGATCCAGGACTGAGGCTGTAGATCCAGAACTGAGGCTGTAGATCCAAGGTTGAGGCTGTAGATCCAAGGTTGAGGCTGTAGATCCGGGACTGAGACTGTAGATCCAGGACTGAGGCTGTAAATGCAGGACTGAGGCTGTAGATCCAGGACTGAGGCTGTAGATCCAGGACTGAGGCTGTAGATCCAGGACTGAGGCTGTAGATCCAGGACTGAGGCTGTAGATCCAGGACTGAGACTGTAGATCCAGGACTGAGGCTGTAGATCCAGGACTGAGACTGTAGATCCAGGACTGAGAATGTAGATCCAGGACTGAGACTGTAAAAGCAGGACTGAGGCTACAGATCCAGGACTGAGGCTGTAGATCCAGGACTGAGGCTGTAGATCCAGGACTGAGACTGAAGATCCAGGACTGAGGCTGTAGATCCAGGACTGAGGCTGTAGATCCAGGACTGAGACTGAAGATCCAGGACTGAGGTGTAAATCCAGGACTGACGCTGTAGATCCAGGACTGAGACTGAAGATCCAGGACTGAGGCTGTAGATCCAGGACTGAGGCTGTAGATCCAGGACTGAGGCTGTGGGTCCAGGACTGAGGCTGTAGATCCAGGACTGAGGCTGTAGATCCAAGGTTGAGGCTGTAGATCCGGGACTGAGACTGTAGATCCAGGACTGAGACTGAAGATCCAGGACTGAGGCTGTAGATCCAGGGACTGAGGCTGTAAACGCAGGACTGAGGCTGTAGATTCAGGACTGAGGCTGTAGATCCGAGAATGTAGATCCAGGACTGAGGCTGTAAAAGCAGGACTGAGGCTACAGATCCAGGACTGTGGCTGTAGATCCAGGACTGAGACTGTAGATCCGAGAATGTAGATCCAGGACTGAGGCTGTAAACGCAGGACTGAGGCTGTAGATCCAGGACTGAGGCTGTAAAAGCAGGACTGAGGATACAGATCCAGGACTGAGGCTGTGGATCCAGGACTGAGGCTGAGATCCAGGACTGAGGCTGTAGATCCAGGACTGAGGCTGTAGATCCAGGTTGAGGCTGTAGATCCAGGACTGAGGCTGTAGATCCAGGACTGAGGCTGTAGATCCAATGTTGAGGCTGTAGATCCAGGACTGAGACTGTAGATCCAGGACTGAGACTGTAGATCCAGGACTGAGGCTGTAGATCCAGGACTGAGGCTGTAGATCCAGGACTGAGGCTGTAAACGCAGGACTGAGGCTGTAGATCCAGGACTGAGGCTGTAGATCCATGACTGAGACTGTAGATCCAAGACTGAGGCTGTGGGTCCAGGACTGAGAATGTAGATCCAGGACTGAGGCTGTAAAAGCAGGACTGAGGCTACAGATCCAGGACTGAGGCCGTAAATCCAGGACTGAGGCTGTAGATCCAGGACTGAGGCTGTAGATCCAGGACTGAGGCTGTAGATCCAGGACTGAGGCCGTAGATCCAGGAATGAGGCCGTAGATCCAGGAATGAGGCCGTAGATCCAGGAATGAGGCTGTAGATCCAGGACTGAGGCTGTAGATCCAGGACTGAGTCTGTAGATCCAGGAAAGAGGCTGTAGATCCAGGACTGAGGCTGTAGATCCAGGACTGAGACTGTAGATCCAGGGACTGAGAATGCAGATCCAGGACTGAGGCTGTAGATCCAGGACTGAGGCCGTAGATCCAGGAATGAGGCCGTAGATCCAGGAATGAGGCCGTAGATCCAGGAATGAGGCTGTAGATCCAGGACTGAGGCTGTAGATCCAGGACTGAGTCTGTAGATCCAGGAAAGAGGCTGTAGATCCAGGACTGAGGCTGTAGATCCAGGACTGAGACTGTAGATCCAGGACTGAGTCTGTAGATCCAGGAAAGAGGCTGTAGATCCAGGACTGAGGCTGTAGATCCAGGACTGAGACTGTAGATCCAGGACTGAGTCTGTAGATCCAGGAAAGAGGCTGTAGATCCAGGACTGAGGCTGTAGATCCAGGACTGAGACTGTAGATCCAGGACTGAGGCTGTAGATCCAGGACTGAGACTGTAGATCCAGGACTGAGGCCGTAGATCCAGGACTGAGGCTGTAGATCCAGGACTGAGGCCGTAGATCCAGGAATGAGGCTGTAGATCCAGGACTGAGGCTGTAGATCAGGATACATGCACAGAATATTACATCAACAGGAATGACTTATTGTCAGTGGATGATCTAAAAACAAGTCGGGATCAATGTTGTTACATGGTTAAAACTTCCAAAATATCAATTTGTCATAATAAATCCCTTTTAATAACAGCTCCATCAAATATTGTATTCTTTGTAGACTCAAAGAATACTTTCTACAAATGTATATCATCGCTCCAAAAAACTAAACATTACTTTTAGCTGCTTTAGATTCCTGTATCTGTTGTTTTGGTAGGAACATACGAATGCGGCTTCAGCAAGGGGTTGGTGAGGCACACCGCCAAAGCTTACCTAAAAGTGGCTCGTCTGCCAGACTCCATCCTGGTCACTGCAGAGCCCATCACAGGCGACTGTTCTGAGAAAGGATCCATAGAGTCCATCCCCATCAACGTCACAGCTACCATCCTCAACACAACATCCAGCAACACATATAAGTTTACATGGAAGTACAACACAATGACCGGTACAGCTGTCTCACCTCACGGTAAGAGAAAGAAAACTCTTTTGTCCCAACTCTCTAACCTAATGTGATTGTGAAAGCTGGGGTACCTAACTTTATATTCCCATGAATGATCCATGTTGTTTGTCCTAACAGAAATAGTTTGTTGTGAATCATTATGCTGTCTTCATTGTGTTAAAAAATGTTGCATATTTAAAATAAAATAAAAATCCTTGTGAGTCCGTTTACGCTTTGGGCTGAGCACTGATTGGCTGTGTGAGGGTAGTCCCTTTTTCACTTTACGGTCTGACGACACATATAATCACATGCAAACTAGTGAGAGAGGAAAACTGCTAAAAGAGAGAGGAACTGGTTATATTATTCCACCGTTACAATGTTTGTGGATTGAGAGTTGGTTTCTCCAGCTTTGATTTCCAAAACCAGAAAGCACGGCACACTCTGACGTCGCAGCAGTTAGCCTTAGTCGTTCTCTTTCTTTGGTCCACAAAATGACGGCCCAAAGAAAGAGAAGAAACGTTTGCAGAGCGATACCTAATCTTCTTGACACCAGTTTATTAATACAAAAATAGCAACAAATACTTCTGTCAAGAACGAAATACCGATATTTTAGTGAGTCCCAAAACTCAACTGATTCTAAAAAAGAATGTCTGGACTTTCATATTTTGTTTGTTTGTTTTGTTCACATAAATAACTTGAGTTCTAAAAAGGTCTAAGTCCAAGGATCTTTATCTTATTCTTTATTCTATTCATATTTAAGGGTGATGAGGGGTCAGCTTGTTGCCTGATAATATTATGTTTAACTACGAATCCACTTCAGGTCCATGTTTACTTTTTATTTTTTTACGATCTTGACTTGCGTGATTAAATAATGTAAACTGTTTACAACAGACTGTTTACACTAAACCGCTTTGTGACTCGGTAGGCGGTATATAAATAAAGATTACTTACTTACTTACTTACTGAGGTACATAAGGTAGAAAATAGAAAAAAAATCCCAAAGGAAAAGTTGTGCAATACATTTTAAAGACAACGTTTATTATAATTTTCATGTTTTGTTTCTTTATTGTTTTGGAGAGGGTTGAAAATTGTATTTATGACTAAATATGAACTTATTCTCTTTTTTTGTATTTTCAGGCGATGGAAAAAATCTGAATTATAAATTTCTAGTACAGATGAGTTGTGTCAAAGTGCCCGATGCTCAAATAATCTTTGTGCAATTTGAAAATACCCTCAACCAAACAAAAAATTCTTCAGTGACTGTTCCTGTCATTTACGGTATGCAAGTTTCCTTCGATGCACCAGTGTTATTTATATGTCTTATATACATTTATAAATCATGTACATGTTATTTATATGTCTGTTATGTCCTTGTGTAAATTTGACCAATGATCAATCAACATCAGACCTTTTCCTGCAACTTGGTCCAGATGTCTCAATCCTCCTCCTGCCAATACTGATACCTCAGTGTTTGGCTTCATGGCTTTACTCCTGCTGTAGTACACAGTGAAATGATTGAGGTCCTATTAAAGGGGTGGGTTACTTTAACTGTCTTACGGAAAAATGTCTGGGCAAAGGCATTTGTCCCCCAATGAACCATGATATTGGCCCATTAGCGCCCCCTACAGGCCGAGTCAAAGTTTTACATGGGGATATAGGTATTTAGTTTTTCTGTTGTTTGATCTCATATTTAACCGAAAACTCGAAAACTCACCAATTTTCTTTTGGTGTTCTTTGGAATAAGACTTGAAAATTTGAATTGCAGGGGGCGCTATTGTGCAAAGTAAATGCCCTCCGTTTGCACATACACAGTTGTAGGGTGAGAAAAGTCGATATCATACATACGTAACTTAAGTTATTTAATTGATATCGGAGAATTGGATCAAAAACAATCATGTAGTAAATACAATCATTGATAGTAGCTTTAATTAGGGGCACCAGGGAATAAATCCCAACTGATAATGTGCGTATGACGTCACATTATCTATTAATTGGCTCATTTATTGATTCAGTAATCTCAAGAGTCCTTTAATTATTTAATTAGCTAGTCCAATTCTTTTCAATAGAATCTGAAGGTATGAATACTTTTACAAATCAGTGACCCAATTTCTGGAGTTAAATCAGTACAAATATCACATTCAGACAAAGATGGTTTTGTAGATTTAATGAAGTCTATACAATACAGATTAGAGATGAAATATGCAGATTGTCAAGAATAACATGAAGGAAACGTTGATTGCAAACGTTGAAGACACATGGTTAATATAGTAGGCTAATGTGGGATGAGGCTAATGTGTGGGCCTTTGTCCTTCTAGATGGATTGGTAGGCCCGGGCTTGCATGTTTGCAGCCTTGGTAAGAGAAGTGTTCTTAGTTTGAATTGTAGATTTTAATTAGGCCAACAACTGTGAGTAGTAAGCAGATCATACAACCATATACCATATACAACAAAATGTCTATGATTAAGGAAAGAGGTCATTTTCATTCCTCCTACAAAGTCCAATTTGCACAGAATTTGAAATGATTATTCAACTCTCGGGTTTGGGAAAACTGAAAGTGTAAAACATGAAATTGCAGCATTAGCGCCCCCTACAAACAGAGTCAAGTTTTACATGGGCAGAAAGATATTTAGTTTCCTCAAAATGTTTGAAATTTTTCACATAATTCTGTTTTGCCATCCTGATCCTAACCCTAACCCAAAAAATCAATTAGACCCATGGCTTATTTTTTTCTTTGTTGCCGTGGCAACCACAAACACTCCCCAATATGTGTCAATGGCAAAGTCAAAGAGACACACAATCACTGATCATAGGCATTCAAAATACACAGTGTCGCTCCCATCAGGGCGGTAGGAAGATGGCACATCAGCGCCACCTCCTTTACGCGGTGCGGCGATTAAGAGATCCTTTATTTGTCCCACAGTGGGGAAATTTCAGTATTGCATCACAAGTTACAGACAGTAAGAATGAGCACACAGCACAGGATAAATTAATAATAATCTTTACTAAAATTAAATCTAATCTCTAACTCTATCAAAAATGAAGCAGTATAAAATCTCTATCATTAGCATAATAAGGAAAGAAGATTTGCAGCCGAGTGTGAAGCGGCTGGGATCAGCACATCCAAATCCGATGCCATGGGGCTTGACCAGAAAAAGGTGCCTTGCCCTCAGACAGTTGAAGTCACCCATTCCATAGGACGCGGTTACCATTCTTTGCCCTAGCATTATTCAGCACTAATAATTAAGCCCTTACCCCTGTTGGGGCTCGGGTCTCTAATAATGATAATAATAACAATAGTAATTGGATGACCTATTAAATGACTAAAAACAAATGGTGTTGTGCTTTCTGTAGCGGGAGAAAAGTTTTGCATAGAGGATTCATCAAATGGAGACATCTGGCCGAAAACTCCCTCAGGAGACACTGCAGTTAGCACCATATGCCCTCCTGGCAGAGTGGGCTACAAGGAGCGCACCTGTAAGGGCTCTGTGTGGGAAAAAGTCTACGATGTATGTATCAACGAAAAGCTCAGCGAAGTCTCCAACGCAGCAGACGTGAGTGTCCCCTCCTGTTCGTAAACAAACAGAAAAAGTTTGTGTATTTTTAAAGGTAGAATCTGTGGAAAATCAAGCACACAGAGACGCACCAGAGCTTGGATGTTTATTCTCAGTGGCTTTTTTCAGTGGTTTTTCAGACAGAACATATTTAGGATTTGGTTTATATAGTCAACATTTACGTCACACATACGTCATACATGGATAAGCATTCGTTTCATATCAAGAGAACAATCAGAACATAACAAGACAACGAAAGAACAGAACACGGACACACAATCATCGCAGATACACAATCGGGTTGTTGTCCTAAGGCCAGATCACTTTATAGCTATCTAATTACAACAGATTCTCTTTCTTCACCCAGGATTTTCTGAAAGGCCTGGGTGCCACGGAAGATGTAGCTCTGGACATATTCTCAGAACTCTCAACCACCTCCGGGGGCGCTGATGGTGGAGACAACATTGCAGACGTCATAGCTTCCCTCTATGTTCTGGACGTGATGGCGCAGGCTTCCAATGTCAAAATGACAGAGAAAGTCATTCCTGTAAGTTTGTTGCATTCATACGCCGTCTAAATTCAAACCCAGGTTAAATTATATGAAATTTAGATGAATCCTTGCGTTTGGATGTGAAGAAAGTTTGAGAAAGTTATTGTTAAGTTCAGTATTTCCCAGTTCAGAAGTGAAAAACATCATGTCATCAAGTTTTCCTGCAATTTCTGCGTCACTGTCAGATGTGATGAGATGGTCTGAGGGCTGCTTTTGTCGCAGTTTCTCTCACACTGCAAAACAATTCAAATATGAGGTAATAAATGCTTGAATCTATTGTTTTTTATCCTTATTTGAGCACATTCTTAAAACAAGATTTGCCAATGGGACAAGAAATTAGATTATTTGGCTTGTCCCATTGGTAAATCTTGTTTTAAGGCAGTGAATCAAATTAAGATATATTTTGCCAAATTTGAGCATTTTTTTTAACCTATTTTCCGTTAACCTATTTTAACCTATTTTTGCAGTGCACAGACTGAAAAAATTAATAATAATAAAGTTATACAGCTGGTGAAATGAATGCATCTTTTTGTGTTCTTTTTCAGGATTTAGCTAAGGCAGCAAGCGACATGTTGAACAAGACCTGGGAAGGAAAGGTCAATACATCGATTATACATAGCATGTCTGCAAACTACCTAGTCTCTCTGGAGGGGCTGGTGAAGAACATTGCCGTGAACACATCCAGTAACACCTCTGAGTACAATACAACTAACTTGGATCTGAAATACTGTCAAGGAGAGGACTGCGAAGTTGAAGTTTTTGGAATAAACGTCAGTATGAAAAATCCAGGAGGTCTTGTGAAAACTGTTGCAGTGAAGAATCTCATGCACAGACTGCGAAACACCTTCAAGAGTTCAGACAACACCGATCTTCTCTTGTCTGCCACTATGGATAAGAGCAACAGCCATGAATTATCAATCGAAATGCAATTCCCAGCAACTCCAAAGGATAAAAAAAAACCGCATTGTGTTTTCTGGGACGTCAAAGAACAAAATTGGAATGATACTGGATGCAAGGTAGTCAACAATGCTAGCAACACAAGCGGGATATTCTGCCAGTGCAACCATCTTACATCCTTTTCTGTTCTTATGGCTCGTGAGGACGTGTCCAACCCCGTTCTAGATATCATAACCTACGTAGGCTTGGCCATATCCATTGTGTCCCTAGTCATCTTCTTAATCATTGAGTATTTGGTGTGGTCGGCTGTGGTCAAAACCAAATTGTCACACTATCGGCACACGTGTATGGTTAACATCGCCTTCTTCCTGTTGCTGGCGGACATTTGCTTCCTTGCCTCAGTTGATCCACCCTCGCTATCTCCAGATGCGTGTCTCTTCTTTACCATTTGCAAGCACCTTTTCTACCTGGCCAAATTCAGTTGGATGTTGTGCTTAAGTGGCATGCTTGTCCATCAGTTAATCTTTGTCTTCAACCCACTCCGCAAAAAGGTCTTCATGTATTTTTCCAGTATCGTAGGCTACATCATTCCCATTCTCATCGTTGGATCCAGTTATGTCTATTACAGATACACCAATAAACCCTACTATGGGAAGGAAACATGCTGGCTGACCTATGAAAGACTTTTAGTGGGTTCCTTGCACTCCTTTCTCTTGCCCATTGGAACCATCCTCTTGTCGAACATCTTCTCCATGACCGTTGTGATTGTGACGTTGTTCAAGTCTTCCCAAAATGACAGTAGCAAGAAAGACGAGAAGGACACGGCCAAAAGCATCATTAAAGTCATTCTCATTCTGGCGCCAGTTTTTGGAGTGACATGGTCCATAGGCTTCTATCTTGTCTTATACAACCGCACAGACCCGTTATATGAATTCTTCAACTATACCTTCACCATTGTCAATTCCTTCCAGGTAGGCCCATCTGTACTTGCATTGTTGTTGTCTTTGATTTGAATTATTAGTGCAGATAAGTTATAACAAATTTGTACAATTGTATAGAAGATTTGAGATCTCAGCATTGATCTAAAACAATGTTATAACAATAATAATTTGAATAGTGTTAAAAGTATGGGCCTTTTAGATAGAAAGGTCCTTTATTTGTCCCACAGTGGGTACATTTCAAAGGAATTGCAAGTTCCAGATGAAGTTAATAGCAAAGCAGAAAAGGTCTCTGTTTAAGGAGACTTTGAATAACTCAAACATGTAGGAATTGCTGTAAAAAAAATAAAAAATAAAGTTTGGTAAGTCAGTAACAAGGGGAAACAACTATAAAATGGATCAAGTTTGTTGTTTGGTGTGATGTGTGAGAGTTGGCATCATTATTATCAATTAGTATTAGCTACTGGCCACCATGATATATCCAACATTTCTGATATTTCTATGATTCTTTTTTCTTGGGAATATTTTAGCCTTTCATGGCATTAACACAATTCTATTTCCATCCATTTCCCTCTCTAAGCGCGCCCCCTCCAGCTCATCTGGGGGAATCCTGGGGCCAATTAATTTTCAAATAAGCATGTTTTTCAAAACAGAGGCTACGTTATTTTGCAACATTCCTGACAAAAACATGTCCTAGCCAATGAGACAAGTGCGTGGTGGATATATCAAGGAAAATTTAGAACTGATTCAACTTTTATAACAATTAATGAAAACACTTTTGAACTAATCAGAACAATCATCAAGTAACTTACTAACATGTCTTTATTTTGGTCAGGGTCTTTTTGTTCTGTTGACTGGGTTTGCATCTGAGAAAAAGGTTTGTGGATTTCATTTATATGCTGCATAATTTAAAATTATTATTTATTAACCAAAAATGAATGTTCCCATTTTTTAGGTCAAAGATGAGCTGTATAAGATTGTCTTTGTAAGTTTCCAGACTGTAAAATGTATATATATATATATATTTTAAATGCATCACTGTAACTATGTGTTTTTCCATCTCTGCTCAGGGCAAGAAGGGTTCAAGTGACAGCACCAAGAATCCCACCTCCACCATGTACACAAAGGACAAGTGAAGAGAGGTGAGTGGGCTCCATCCCAAAGTTTACATACACCATGTAAAGAGATATATTGATTGGTTTTTCCCCTCCCCATCTGATTTTGTACAAAGTATTCTAAATCATTTAGTATTGATCTTTGATTCCAATTTCTGTAAATTGCAGATTGTGAAGAGGCGGAAGAAATGATGCCCTCACTCCCTATGATTTAAGCCGCTACAAAACAGTAGTTGCCAAATGTAGTTTTAATACTGTATATCATGCAAAACGTCTGCGACTGTTTGCCATAGGCTGGCTTGCCTCTCTACAGATTTGACTCATAACTTGGCCTTGCAGGGAACTGTTTTGCATATTTCATTCACATTAACATTTGCATCAACCCAAAATGTCACTGCTTGTGTTCTATATGTATGTTTGCAGTAGATAGACATTATTTATGTATTTCAAACCTGAACACAGTTAAACAATAATAACAAACAAGTGTGCAAGATGTTGTACATCTGTGCCTTTGTGTGTGTGCGTTTGTATGTGCGTGTGTGTGTTTGTCTGTAGGCAGGATAACAAAATAACTGTAGCTGGGATGTGATGGTAGGAAGGCATCAGTAGATTTCCAAGATGATCAGTGGTGATGATGGGATATGTGCTTTTTGAAAAAAGTTAACATTGTGCCAAAGTTTATTTGAATTTAAGAATAATACTCAAGTTAATAATTCTGATCAAATTCATTATAGTTTTACAAAGTCGCTTTCAAATGTACAATTAAAGGTGGAAGGGCACATTCACATGTGTTGGTCACTTGTTCTCTATAACTGGGGCAATGACGGTTCATTTGGGGCAAAAATACTTTTTTTGTGGACGTAAAACCCCCAAACAGGCGAGTATGTGTCCATTAGTCATAAGTCAGTGTACATATTTTGGAACAGATCAAAAAACAACAACTTTGGCCACACCCTATGTGTAGAGCATTACTGAACTTTATCATTGAATTGTAATCAGCATTTAAGACAAAAACAATTATCAACAACTATTTTCACACAAGCTTACTATATAACATTAGAATTTTGCCTTTGACAGGGTTCAGACATTCTTCCTGCACATAAATGCATACATCTTAAGAGCAATAGCAGTAGAAACAAATTAGTTCATATATATTTGTTATTCCCGAGCTCTTGGCACTTTGTATATTCTGCCTGATGGGTGAAGCTCTAAAGACTGGTTCAGTGGGAGGGATCGTGGCCTTTCGTTTGACTGCTTGACTGTGAAGTTCTGTCAAATTGGCTTGGGTTTTTCTTGTTATCTTGTTATCTACATCTATCTAATCAATTGAATGTATTTATAAACTCATTTAAGTTGGTTTGGGGTAAATATGTGTGATATATACAGAATGTTAAACTATATATTTATTTATTTTTGTCTATATAGTGTAAGTAACTACATAGACTGTTTGTATATGCTGCTGACTTGAATAATGTGCATTAAAATAATCATGACTTCAGTTATTGTTGTTGCAATTAATTAATATAGAAAGATATTGAAATAATATTCTCCAAAACAGCTAAACAGAATGTAATATTATTCATTTGGACAAAGTCTGTGATGGGACAGATATAATTTATTCACAATGCTAATGAGGATGGCTCCAGTAAACATGTCTTTGGAACGCTTATGTTCACAGTGTATCTCACATTTGACTGATTTAAAAGCAGTGTCAGCCTTAAGCTCTCCTAACAACAGTAAAAACAGCCACTGTGAGGACGATGGTCCCGACCGCTCCTCCGATCAGAGCTCCCAGAATGCCCCTGTGGAGGTTCAGCTGCTCGCACCTGTCGCCTGAGTAGAAGGTGGTCTGAGTTGTGGCGCATCTGGAAACAACATCATCATTTACAACATTTAAATGACTTGTTAAGTTAACAAATGTGGTGTATCAGATATTTGCTATTCAAATTAGTATTCACGTCATGAGGAATTGGCAAGTGTTACATGCTTACATAGAGCTATTTTACGGTAACTATGGTGATGTGGTTACATGTAAAGCACATGCATAATGTTTGGTACAAAAAATTGCATCCCATAGACTGGTTCTGCTTGCACTATATCTGGTGTTGCAGAAGTCTCCCATCACAATACTGACCAGTCCTGTATTGCTTTGCTTCTGAGATCTGCCAGGATTTTTTTTTTTTTCCTTTGCACAAATTTGACCATGGGTGAATGCTCCACATATCACAGATTCAGAAAAAAAGGGAGCAAAAGTAAAACCCATGGGAGGAGCTAGGTGTTAGCAATCAGGAGAAAATATTATATCTTTCTGTGTCAATAAAATTAATTTTTAAAGAAATTACTTTACAAGAGCTATCATGGGAAGAGTATCATAAGTGACATAGATTGCAGATATTAGAGTGAATGGACCTAATAACGGTCCATGTCTGTTTTTATTGAGCGTAAGGCTGGAACATGGTTACAGACTTAACAGAGTAGATTTGGCATCCCTGATTTGTTAATGTTAATATTATTATGTAAACAAAACAAAATAGAGTTTGTAGTGATATATTGACCTGCAGGAGGCGATGTCCTCTGTGTCCACACAAACTCCTCCATTTAGACACATCTCCGGGACACAGGCACTGACAGCACGAGCCGCTCTGGGCTGTGGACCACGGACTTGGACTGACTCCTCCATGGGGGCCACTTCACTAGAGGAGCGGGACCTCACCGGGACCTCTGTCTTTATTAGATGGGTCAAGTCTGAAAACAATAAATCATGGATGAATGGAATTCAGATTTCAAACAATCTGAATCCTTAAGGAGACAGTTCCCCTTCGAATGTCTCGTAGCACACATTACATTTGTGTACCTTACCGGTGTGTTATTGTTTTTTTATTGCTCATCCAGATGTTCTTCATTTTTCAGTTTGTTTGGCTATTATGCATTCAAATGTGGACTTCTATTTGTATTGGATCTCTTTAATTTGTTTAAATAGTGTGATATGGCAAGTTGCTTTTTGATACCGTTGAAGTCCACTGTGAGAATGAGGTCATCATTTTTGAGAAAGTTGCGTCTAAGAAGATGTTTGTGGGATATGAAGACGCCCCATCCAAAATCGGGCCCCCGGAAACAGCTGCAGGAGGGATCCGATGTGGCCCCTGAAGATGCCGTGGGACGGATCCACTGAGGGCTCTCGTCTAAACACATGAAAAACACAGAAAGAAATTACTGGGGGGATGAATCTGGTGTGATGAGACACAGACACAGAACTTTAAATGTACTCCATAAAAAACCGATTGGTCAAACCTGTGGGTGGTGCCTTAACACGTCAATGTCTAATTGCACTCAATTATCTTTACAAATAAGCACTATAAAATCACATAGGAAAAGTATCCCATCCATTACTTGCTTGTTTAGAAAGAACCATAGAGACCTGTGGTGAAACTTCGTGTGGAAGACATCCTTAGCTTCACATCCGGGTCCTGGTCCATGCCGACCACTGTCACTTGTCTGTTTTTAACTGGCCACTCCAACACTGCATCATTCTCCCCACTGCAGAGGTGAAAGGTCACGCCCACATTGCCCATAGAATTTTTATCTCTTCCATTGGGGTAAACGGTGACACCAAATCTGTACCCCTCTGGGCTGTAGAAGCACTTGCTCTTCACGCTGTACCCGACAGCTGTGGTGTTTAGGAGGTTTTTAAAGTTCCTGAATTGCCATACGGCACTCGGACACATGGTCTCAGTGAGGGTTATGTCGTCAATGGAAATGGCGCCCGTTGAAGTTGTAGTTCCGCGAATACCCTGGAAGACGTAACGGAACTTCTGTTTTACTTTGAGAGGGACATGAGCTATCTTCCAGTCACTGTCAGCATCTCCTGTCAACAACAACATTCATATCAGCAAAATGTATTCAATCAAGTTTCTTTTCTATATAAGTTAATGCTGATTCAAGCCTTGACAAAACCACACAGACAAATATTAGTTTCTTACTTGCACTAAGGGGACTGAGAAGGAGGATTTTGACAAAGCAAATCACAGCCTTCAGCTTGTCCGTCTCAGTCACTACTGCCTTCTGCTCCCTGTGTTGGGAACTTTATTCAAAGTTAAAATTACACTTCCATTCAAGGTACTGATGCCTAAATGCTTCAAGGAAGCCACTCCTTATTTCCATATAAACAATGTGTCTGTGGTATACAGACTTCAAAATCCCCTGCTAGGGGGCTAAAGGTTACTTCCCCTTCCTGGCCCATAATTCCAAAGGGTGAGTTGCCTTATTGAACTCTAGATTAATGTTAAGCACATTCTTATTCATTTAATTGATAATAAAAACATAATTTCTATCACAAAGACTTTTCCCGATTGTGTAAGAAATGTTTTTGGTTTTTGGTATAACTTTACTCTTTCAAAATAAATAAATTAAAGGATTGTTTGCCCTAGCAGGGTCGTTAGACCTGCTTCCTACCCCTTCTTAACACACTTTAGATGTGTTTAGCCTCAGGATTAGGGTGTGTCTAACCACACCCATAGGTTATAAATCTCCAACGTGCGGTCTGAGATTTCATTCCCTTGAAAAAGTTCTTTGGATTAAGGACAAGACATCGGGAAAACCTGCTAAGAATTACAGATGATGGGTGAGAAACCTTCCTTTGCTTTGACTAATCCCTGACTAATCCCCCAGAATTTTGCATAATACAAAATAATAACGGAGGGAGCACCTATGAAGGAGTGCACTTTCATGAGGCTGGTGACGTTGCCAGAACCATCATCTTTGCGCAGCCACAGCACCAGTGAGTCTCCAGCGCCACCTGTCATCCGGTAGAAGAACTGCAGACACTGCTCTGAGCGTTTGGGATAAAGGATCCGTGACTCAAGTAGAGCACTTGCCCCCGCCGCTCCAGACAACTTCATGTAGTAACCCGAATCTACAAAGAAACGGTACGAAAATGAACATAAATTCAGGCAAAATGTTTTACTAATACAAGTCAATTTACATCAAAAACAGACCAGGAGTTGTTTTAAGATCCATCTATGCTATTATCGGGAGCTTCCGGCACAACAAATATGTATCCCCTCCTTCTCTACAATCTCCTGTCTCCGCCCTGTAATAGTATGATATAATTGTACCACTATGACATACCGCTTAGAGCAGTTTTCTGCTGTTTAAAACAAAAGTAGGGCTTATAAATGAGTTTCGGGAATTACATTCTTTATAATCATATTTGCGTGTTTGAAGCTGGTATTTATCGAATTTGGTAAAAAACTAAATTATACCTATAGCTTAGAGATAGGGCAGGTCAATAGCATTATTTTTGCCATATTTTTAAATTAGAATGGTCTTATACCCAATCATTTAAAATGAAAACAATAAAGTTGTAAGTTCATAGGGGTGGGCGATATGGGCAAAAATTAACATCTCAATATTTTTTTCCCAACTCCCGATAACAATAATGTCACGATATCTTTTAAATCACATTTTTACACAAAATGATCTGCAATGTTTTGCTTGCCAGTATATCTATAGATAGAGACAGTGTAGATCAAAATAGCAGCTTTTTATTTGTAAAGTGCTTCACACATCTTTGCAAAACATGCACAAACGTATATTAACATTAAAAACCGAAGTCAAGCAACACAGGAAGAACACATCCAAAAAGTGAATAAAGCAGTGATTGGCTTTTTACAAAAGTGCAGGAGAGACATGTGTGAAAATGCGCGTCACAGTAAGAGGTAATGTGACGCACACTATCAAGTCCCCACCACACCTCATCCCCCACTCCCCACCACCCGCCACACTAACCCCCTCATCCGCGGTGGGAAGCGGGCCCTGGCACACTTTAACCGGGCTTTAGGTTGCGCATGTGACCGCAGCCTATGACACAGTCCTGATCTCTGATCATTCTGAAGAACCCATTCCTTCCCAAACCTCTGCAGCGGCCTCCCAGGGTGTAGTCCGGATCTGTGGGGGAGCTTAAGGTCTGGACCCAGTCACTGTTGTCTGCTTCGTTCTGGATCATTCCACAGATGTTAATGAGCTCAAAGGAGCACTGGTCCAACAGAGTATGAGAGTTTGCTGCAAATACACAATGATAAAATAAATCAATTAATTTAAGGAGAAGTGGCAACCTATACCAAAAGGAACAAAAGTCAAATTTAAATAGATTATAACAATTGTGAGGTGGGAAAGATGATACTAAATCAAGTTGTGTTCATTTCCCTCTTGCTCCTATTGCAAGTGAGGTTGATTGATTTTTACCGTTTCACCGTTCTTAGGAAGTAAGTAATCTTTGTTTATATAGCGGCTTTCACAGACCAAAGTCACAAAGCGCTTTAAAATTGTTGTGTGTCCTCTCACTCCACACTTTGGGGTGTTTAGCATTAGACTGTACCACAGATTGATCATTATTATTTTACATTTTACTTTCTTTTACACAATATTTAAGCAAACCAGTACAACATGTATAAGGCACAAAGCCATGAAATAGCAGCTATATGTTTTAAGGCTGTTAAACCACACTTTATACACGTTTCTAACCACTTGAAGAAGTCATCACTGGTTGAGAGCTATCGTGGGGATCTTATACACGATGTAGGTCTGCGCTGCTGCAGCTGTAAAAAGACGTGCATACACTGTAAAATAAAGTTGCAGAGAACACCGCGCTGAGAGACAGGAACAGGACTCAGGGCTGTGGAAAGACCAAGGTAGTCCTCTGAACACATCACAACAGGCCAAAACAAGCCACAAAAGTTTTCTTCTAACTAGGTAACTGTCATGTGATTATCTGATGTTGTGTATGATACAGAAGTGTACACATGCCCTATCTGAAGAATTCTGTAAGAAATAAAAAATAATAATAATAAACACATGCAGAATTATTGTTGATCTAGTTAGAGACCACTATCTCCTTTAAGACTGGAGTTTTTTCTGTGTCATAAACATTGCATGCATAAATGTGAACAAATCAGACATGTCAAGATCTATTATAAAACATTTGAAACATTAAACCTCCTCCTGTTTCTTTTGAGCATCATGTTCTGAGTGTACTAATGTTAGTATTTTTTGCAAATGAACAATGCTGTGAATTTTATGTTTTGCAACTCTTTTAACAGGGGCTCAAATATGTAAATAAACAATAATAATATTTCTCTGCAGCTGATCAAAAGATGTGACAGAGGCCAAAACCTGTGTTGAGGTTTTAAATACTTCTTTGACACATTGTAACTGCTCAAATGAAAGCAGTCCTCACCACAGTCGTACATGCGGTTCAGTCTGGTGATGTCGATGGCGCTGAAGTCCTGCCGCTGCCCAATGACCTCGTTGAACTCTGGGATGGTGGTGGTGATGGTGGGGATGGACGCGTTCTTGTTGAACGACAGGGGCCTGTAGTGCATGATGGACTCGTAATCGTACGCCGTGTTCAAATCCGTGATGAAGTCGTCCTCGTATTTGTTAAAGTTATGCTCCATCCCTGTAACAACCACATTGCTTTTTGAAAATAAAACATGTTTGAATGCGGAGTTGTGGTAAATTTCCACAGGGGATTTTGAGATACATTTTTCAATCACAGGTAAGACCCGCCCATTTTCACCCTCACTGCTTTCTAGTTATTTTCCAGTAAATCTTAATGGTGGTGGTTCTGCCAAGGAGAGGCACTGTATTAAATATTGTTTTAAAAGGGTCATATGGTCAAAGATATGTAATATTTTACTTATGAATTACAATTGAAAAGGTGGACATCATATTTGAGGACCCTTCTCCCAAAATCTAACTCAAGGCCACAACCGAATATATATAAATTAATATTGTAGATTATTTTAGTTATTAAAAATATTACGCAAAATCAAAAATTGTACATAAGAAATGTTGCATGGATTTTGGTTCACAAAATAATGCCTTCTTCCTGTCTATTTTAATTGGAACTGAAATCATTTGGTTCCACAAGGACCGTGATCAATTAGTTTCTTTACATCGCAAATAAGTGATATGGAGAAATGAAGGAAGGACCCAAAAAGCAAGAATGCAAAAAAATTATTTACTGATGAAAACACATTAAAGTCCAAGGTAAACACAAACTCAAAAAATGAAACACAGGAACCAGGAAACGACAGACGAGAAAAAACAAAGACAATGGACAAGCAAAAAGGGGAGAGGATCACAGAGTACGTATAGACACACATAAACACAGGTGAAACACATTAGGGCGGGGCAGACAAGTAACACGGGAAGTCAAACTAAAAACAAAACCACAGAACAAAAATAAAATCCACACCATGACAAAATTCTCCAAGATTCCCTCCCTGTACTTCAATGAAAATAACATGCGACCCCTTATAATAAACAAAAAATGTAATAATATTTCATCTTCACCAACCTTCTTCGATTTGGTCCCACCAGATCTTAACGTAGTCGTCCCGGTCGGAGCGGGACTGCTCGTGGTAAAAGCCCAGTGCGTGGAGCAGCTCATGTTCTACGATGGCTTTAGTGTCACAGCGTGCGCCGATGGACACGTTCTGGCCTTCTTTAAAGTCCCCCACGTATGACCAGCACCTGAGCCAAACACAAGGGCATGTCTGTGTCATAACCCCATATTACAATTTATATAGCATTGTATGGCAATTCGTCCTCTGCATTTGACCCATCCTGTAGTCACCTTAGCTCTGCACCCGGGAACCCATCTCTAAATATTGACGTACAGCTTGGTCAGGTCTACCAGAGCGAGGAAGATTTGATCTATTATACATATTTTAATGTTATACTGGAAAACCTATGCAGACACAGGGAGAATACAAATGCAAGCTCCACTCAGAAAGGCCCTGTTCCGACTGGGATTCGAACCCATGACCTTCTATAGCTAAAAAGCGAGCAACCACTACGTTTGATATATCATTTCTCTGTTTTCTCCTCTTCTTTTCCCCATGCTGCTCACCCGTCCAGTTTGGTGAAGGAGATGTAGGTGCTCTCTCCTTCGTACGGTTTGAAGTCCACACACGACCGGAGTCTGTACTCTTCAAACGCCTGCAAGATCACTCCCTTGGCGTTCAACTCTGAAATATGATTTTATTGGAGAGGACAAACTTCAGGCAGCGTTATTCTGGGGACTGGTCTGAATGTATCCCCTTGAATTGAAGCTGTACAGTCTCTCATACCTAAAGTGTCTGTCAGAATGTAGGGGATCGGGAACTTCCACCTCATAGTTTCATTCACAAGTGCATTCCTGCTGCGCTGTATTATTAGATAGATGTTATATACCACATTAAAACCATACAACAAGACCCATTTGAAAAAAAAAAGAAAAAGTTATGCATCATGCTTTGTTATGACTCACATCACCAGCAATATCCCCCTCTGACAAGTGGTCTAACCCTGAAACCAAATGTTTCATATTATAGACAAAATATAACACAAATGGGAAAAGCTAATGCAACCATATTACTGTATGTACCTTTGTTGATTTCAGGTATGTCATCTGTCAGTTCTCCTGCATCTGCATTTCCATCTGTGTGGGGAATTTGCATTACAAATTTGTCTTCAGCATATGGATTTGGAATAAAGAAAAGCTAACCTGATATAGTTGGGAGAGCATGCACCTATATGAAAACATGTTTAAGGTTTTTTTATTAGCAGTGTAATGCAGTGAAATTAGTTCAAGCAGGAAATCATTCAAATAAATACCTTGAGAATGATAAAAATAGAGAAGAAAACTGTAGTCTTCATGGTGATGAACCCACAAACATGAAACTGGTGTGAAAGTAAACAGGCTCATAAAACAGGCTCAACTTTGTCCTCTACCATAGCTTTTAATGTGTAACAGAAATTAGCCCGTACAAGTCCAACCCTCCTTTAAACAGGGTTGGACTTCATCTTCACACGCATGTTTTTAAGACGTCATGTGCATCTTTAGATCCTCTTTTTCAGACAGAAAAGTGGAAAAAAAGGGGACCAGTCTTATTGAGGTCAATAAGAGGTGGGTAGACGTCATATTGAGGTGGGCCATTTTGAATTTGTAAATGTATCTTATGGAAGAATTGTATAAAATCCCTTTCAACAACAACAAAAAACTGTTAATGGGTGATTCTATAACTAATGGCAAATCCTTGTCATCCTTGTTGAGTGATAAAAATAAAAATAAATCACATTTCAAAATTTCAAAAAATTTCATAGTACACTGTTCAGAAATAAAATATGATTTTATATTATTTAAAAAATACATTTTAAATGTTTTATATTAGAGAAACCTTGGCCCTGAGTCCAGTTTTCCACTGAATAACATCATAACCCCCCCAGAAATTGATTAAGGGGAAGAAAAAGTAAGGATGGATGGAATATAATGTTACTGAGTGGCATGTATTAAAAACTTGTTTTCATATGTAACATTTTCTTAAATGTGTTATTTGCTTTTCAAAAATATTTTAATTTTATATATTTTTTACAAAAAGAATATCTGCCCCTGAGGTTCAGCGTCATTTCCATCACAGAGCACAGACTGTTTGTGAGTTTGTCTTCACTCTTACTCGCTGCAACTACAACCATCAGAAAGGGATACTAGACATTTAACTACAACACCACACTAAACAGTATTTTTGAACATAGAATTTAGATTTGAAGATTCTTTCAATAAGCTTCTCGAAAACCTAGAACTGCTTATGTTTCAGTGTTACCCCTTGTTTTCAGGCCTATATTAGTCAAATTAAATGTGTTTACAATGTGTGCACTGTATTTGCTTATAGAACATTTCATATCAGCTGAGCCAGCGTAATAGTTGATAAGAAAGGGTACAGATAGAATATCAACTGCAGTGGGGCATGGCAAAACATGATGAATCAACACAACAACAATAGGAATCGCAATATGCATTGCAAGAAACATACACATACTTTTGTTTTTTACAGCTTGATTTATAATAAAGTGAATGACATATTTTTCCAAAGCAAGTATTGTTTATACCCACCCATTCTCAACCTCACGGCTTCCTGATTGGACGGAATAAATTAAAATCCTTGATACACAGACTATTGGTCTCACTATTCTCCTCTCCAAATGCTATTCTCCAGAATTTGTTATCTGTGGTGGTTATGCCAGTGAGATATATTGTTTTTGTTTTTGGTCATAAAAATATACATTCTTTTAAAAATGAATTACAAAAATAATATGTTCGGCGACATTGAAACAGCCGCATTATCACGGTCAAATGCTCTCAGTAGGTGATCTCTGGATGGGGCACCTCTGTCTTGATCATTGATGAGATATCTGTAAACACATAACACAGTAAAATAAATCCCTAGTATAACAGAGTTCTATGGTACTTCAGTCACGGACCTTCAAAGTCGATGGAGATGATGAGATTGTCATTCTTCAGGTAGTTGCGTCTGCGGAGGTCGAAATGTTTGACAAAGTTCCTCCAGCCCCAGGACGGCCCTTTGTAGCAGCCACACGCGTCGTCAAAGGTCCCCACTTTAGAGGGATTGTCCCAATGGTACTTTCCATTTTCAACTGGAACAAAAGGCGTGTATCAGGTTTAACACAGAGGCTTGGAAAATCAAAACATATTGACATAAACTATTCAGTGAATAAGGGGATTGGTTTAAAAATAATATGTTGTCTTACTTTGTTTGCTCAATACAAGCCTGTCTGTGTTACTCCTGCTAATGGAAACATGACTCACTCCTGAGGTCTGTGGTCAGACTGCGGGCCGTGGACATCCTCAGTTTGATATCGGGGTCTTGATCCATCACCACTAATCTGGCCTGTCTGCTGACCACAGGCCACTGCATGGCCACATCATTCTGCCCACTGGCCAAAAAGAAGTACAGCCCTGTGTAGTTCCCGGTGTAGTCGGTGTAGCTGGACAGAGGCATGACGCGCACCCCAAATGCGTACCCCTCTGGGCTGTAAAAGATAGGACTGTCCATGGTGGCCCCACGCCTTGCTGTTTCCATAATCTGGGAGAAGTTTGAGATGGTCCACACAGCGTTTGGACAGCGTGTTTCAGAAAGGCTGATGTCATCGATGAAGAGGCCCCCTGCTGAGGAGGTGGGGGCTCCGCGCACACCCTCGAACGCATAACGAAACTTCACGTCTACCTCCAGCGGGACATGAGCAATCTTCCATGTGGAGTCCGAGACTCCTGTGGACACAGAATCATAAACCTCTATGATATTGCTGTGGACAGAAACCTGGAATATAGTGAATTCGCAACTTGCACAAATTCCATAATGCGTTTCTGCAAGGGGAGATATGTCAGTTCTTATGAGAAGGCTTAGAAGGAAACCTATGGCGAGTTTGAAATCTCAAGGATCACAAGCACACTTTAAAACACCTGGCCAAGTATTGCGTTTCACAAAAAAAATAGAAATGGTCACCATCTGCTGGCTATTTACAGAAATGCACCATTGAAATGAATGGGAGGCAAGGAATATGAGAGCTGTTTCAGCGGTGTCTTGGTGTGGACACATTGTACTTAATCTATACACAGTACCTCAACATTTAGAGTACCTTTTTTGAAAACATCTAAAATTCCCACAATATTTCTTGAATATTACTAGTATTAAATCTTGTATTTCTTATCTTTGCACTAGACATTCAACAATACTTTATCTACTCTCAAAACCATTATTCTTGATTCCATAACCTTGTAAGTGCATTAGTGTGCTCCTAGAATAACTTGAATTTGAATGTGTCCACATAGTCTTAATATTCAAATGTGTGTTTCGTTTGATGCAAAGCTCCTCAGGGCAGATAGAGTCTGGGCCAAACCTGTAAACGTGTGTACTTTCTTCATTCTTCTGACAGTGCCTGTGCCATCATCCATCTTCAACCAGACCACCAGCCGGTCCAGGGGGCTGCCGGTCATCTTGTAGAACAGCTGCAGGCACTGGAAGCTCCTTTTAGGGTACAAGGTCCGAGACTCAAGTAGGGCAGACTCCTGGGCCTTTCCGGTCTGTGTATTGAAGTGCATGTAGTACCCAGCATCTACAGAAGTCAGAATTATTGTCAGTTGGGAAATATTATGTTTATGCTTTTGATAGAAGTACATATCGAAGACTTCTGCTCACCCACACAGGGATACATTTGTGGTATCATCAAGTACAATATAATGTTTATGGCCCACTGATCCAGTCTCAATACATTAAAACTAAAAATCCACAGTAAGATCATCCATCACATTGACTTAAAACATGAATAACAAGAGACTTCACAACTATTTATCTCTGAGCTATTCTTTCTTTTTGTCATAGTTCAGTTTCTAACCAATCTGCACATTGGGATAAATACAAAGAGGAGATAATAGTGTAAATCATGGCTATGTGTACCTCTACATTGTCCCAGAAGAGTGTGGTCTTCATGTCCAGTGGTGCTTTGTGTGTGGATCCAGTCGGCATCATCGATTGAGCTTTGTATCATGCCACAGATGTTTGCAAATTCAAAAGAGCACTGATCCAGCAGCGTCAACGGGCCAGCTGCAGAGACAATGTATAGATCTCACACAGGAGAAATGTGTGTAGAAAAGTGTGCAACATGATAAAAAGTGGCAATACTGTAGCTGGGCAGGTACAGATTAAAGCTGGGGTACCTAGCTTACTTTAGTAAAATGTGAACAAATCAGCCCCATCTTCATCTTGGAAAACATGTAACATCTTTTGTATGCTTGAGATAGAGAGTTGTGTGAGTCACTCTTTGACTTTTCGGGCTGAGCGCTGTTTGGAATTCTGTCTGAAAAATTGGATCCAAAGATGTGGCACACGTCGAAAATGCATACATGTGAAAACCAGTGAACCAAACTGTTTTGAGAGCTAGGAGCTAGTTAGACTGATTTTATTTCATATTTTGTGATTTGAAAGTTAGGTACCCAAGCTTTAGGGAGAAAAATACATATTATCTCAAAATTAACACAGGTTCAAGACGTTATGTTGAGACCTTTTGAATATAAAAGATACATTTTCACCAAAATATATTAGAAAATAGATATAATGCACATTCATTCAACGACTTCTTTACCCGGTAACAAATTGTATTGTGACAAAGCAAAAACCCCAGAGACAAACGTGAATATGATCATGATTAAAAGCATATCTGAGTCCAGCAGCACTCACAGCAGTTGTACATGCGGTTCAGCCTGAGCATGTCCATCTTGCTGAAGTCCAGGTATTGTCCGATGATGTTGTAGAACTCTGGGATCTTGGTGGTGATGGTGGGAACGGAATCATTCTTGTTGAAGGAAAATGGACGGTAGTGCATTATGGATTCATAGTCATACGGAGTGTTCTGGTCCGTGATGTAGTCGTCATTGTATTTGTTAAAGTTGTGCTGCAGGCCTGTAGGAAAATATAACTATTTAGTATTCTATTAAAAAACAACAACTATGTCACAAATAGATATAGCTAACACATTGTTGCCATACTTGGGAGATTTGGAAAAACCCCAATTTGGACATAGTTTAGTATATAGTGTATATACATAGTGTACATTTGGCCAGAGTATAGTTTATTTTTATACTTTCATTAAGACTTCCAAATATGACCTATTTTAATATGTACAATACACAAATACAGTGTGGTTTCTATTTATGGTCAATCTTGAGTCATTTCAGTTGTCCTAATAATTTGAAAATAGCACCCATTATATGACATTAAATCACTTCAAACAAATCAAATCTGCAGAAGTCTGAAAATGTAAAATACAGTAACCTCTTCTCTGGCAATATCCAAAATACTCTCTTTTTGTATCACTATAGAACAGACACGCCAATATGATAATTGTGTTCTCTCTTCCTTTTATTACCAAATGCACAATACTCCAAAGCAAACAGTTGTTTCCCTTTTCTTGTTTGGAAATCAGCTGAGTACCGTCTGTGACTTGATCCAACCAGATGTACACGTAGTCGTCCCGGTCGGTGCGAGACTGCTCGTGGTAGAAGCCCAGCGCGTGGAGCAACTCATGTTCTATCACTGCCTTATGGTCACAACCCGAGCCCAGAGACAGGATCTGCCCTGTCTGCTGGTCGCCCACGCGGGAAAAGCACCTGGCAACACAAGTGTACACGTTTTGCTCATGTTTAGATGAGTGCAAATGTGACTGATTTTTATAATTTTCTATTTTTGACTTAAATTTTGTGGGACAATCTGTACATAACAATGGACAATGCTAACCCGCTAGCTCTATGAGGCCTAATAGGGAAGTTCTAATGGAGAAGGTGTTGCTCCAATTTGTTTTTGCTTTTATGATGACCTACTTGGCCATATTAAAAACAGGTTCGTAACCACAGAAATGCAAGGAAAACCACATGTTTTAGATATAGTTGAGTACAAAAGCCATAAAATTACTTGGTAACAACTGGTAAATACGATCATAACTTTATAATCTCAGAATTGTTTTATTATTATTATTACTGAAGCACTCCTAAAATTGACTTGAATTTCCTATAATAATTCATTGCATACACTATTTATCTGGCATTTTTACACATTTTTTATGTTGCTCATAAATACTAAATAATTTATCTGGTCTGCTTAGCCTTTCCTACACTCCAATGCAAAAGTAGTATGTGTATTGTAACTTATAAAGAAGTCAATATATTGAGATTAAAAACCTCCTTCCATACCCTCCTCTCTTCTCAAACTTGATGAAGGTTCGCTCTCCCTCGTACGGTTTGAAGTCGATGCAGGACTTCAGGCGGTACATTTCAAAGGCCTGATGGACACAGCCTTTGGCATTTAGATCTGGGACAAATATGTTGACAAAATATTAAAATTTGGCATATCTTTCCAGTGCCATTTCTACTTTTACCCAAATCATCTCCCAAAATGTACGGGATTGGAAACTTCCATCTGGCTTTGTTGTCATTTAGGGCATTTTTTCCGTTCTAAAACAAATATAAATATGAAATAGTCCAAATATGCGTGTTGCTGTTGTTATAATATAATTTTGCTGAAATTACAGGAATGAAGATGTCTCCTTCAAACAGGTTGACGTCTGAGCCTGCATAGATAAACAAATAATAAACTAATAAACTTTTGTACATTTTTTATTGTTTACCCCGAAACAGATTCTCACCTTGATTCAAAATGGGGTTCTCATCCTCACCATTTGCATAAACCTCTGTAATAACATACAATTAGCTTACATTTATCATTGTTATGACATTGTGGTTGCTAAACAATGGAACGCCATTGAAGTACCATTGTAATAGAGTCTAGTAAAGTATATAACACATATCTTTATGAAGTGTGACATGTAAAAGTAGCAGTAGAACTAAAGTACATAATAGATTTGCTAGATTTTTTTGTGTCAAAATACTGCCTTACCATGCACTTCATGAGCAATGGGAATCTGTAAACAAAGCATTGGAAAATAACAGTTCTAATAATACCAAATGCAGTAATAATGTGTTTCAAACTTACAGAGTGCACACAAGCCACCAGGGCTGCAGCCAACAGTATTTTCCAAGAGTCCATCTCTGTGACAGTGTTGCCCAGAGAAAAGTTTATTATAATGAATCCTCACAGACCTTCAGACCTCTGAGCTTTATTAGGGCCGTAAGACAAACCTAGGACTTTGACTCCGCTTACTGCATCAGTAAAAGTGTAACTGGGAAGGTCTTAAAGAGACCGGGGTTAAGGAGTATTATGAAGAATTATTAATTACAACTGGTGTACCTTATATGTAATATGGGTATAAGCATAAACTAAATGGGTATACGTATAAGAATAAACTAAGCCGAAATCAATGCATCTTGATTGTTTTGTAGAGCTGGTGGTCATGTATGAGTCTTTATTGCACTCTGCTGTTAGATATGTGGTCAAGCGCGCCCCCAGGTGGACATAATGGTACTGCAGTTTCACTATGTTCCATGTTGATGCGGTAGAATATTAATATATACAGTCTATGGGTAGAATGTGTTCCCGAAGAATGATAATAGAGAGGAGGAAGAGGAGGCATACTTTCGTGTTGTTTGTTGTTAAATGCAGTGATATACATACATTATACCGCACGAATATATCGTGTGTAGAATTAAGCGTACGTCCTCTTCGGGAACTCTTCACAGACAGACCGTGCTTGGGGAACTCGTCAAAATCGGTAGAATTAATTTACCATATGTGAATATTATGCTTGTGTTCGTTTAGATATAGGTTACTTTCAGCGGAGGATGGAGAGGATAGACTCGGGTCTGTTCGCTTTCACCGTATATCTTGCTGCAGGAGAATAAAGTAGTTCCCTACGCACTTGAGTTTTACGTACATGAAAGCGAAACATTTGTGGATTTATAACATCCATTGTTAACCAAAAAAACGCCATGTGTCAGTTTATTCACGACTCGTTTATTTCACTCGTTTTATTTGATTAGAAACCCAAAACACATCGACGTGTCCCTACGTGACGAGGTGGCCGAGTGGTTAAGGCGATGGACTGCTAATCCATTGTGCTCTGCACGCGTGGGTTCGAATCCCATCCTCGTCGATAATTTTCATTTTCTAAAACTCTATCGTATATGAAATGTACCCACTACTTTCCGCAATCACTTTTGAAGGACAATTCATATACGTGCAGTCATACATTTACAGAGTGTGTATCTACAAAACCCCTCTCTCTCTCTCTCTTAAAGTGACGGTAACGTAAACATTCTAAATGAACATAATCTAAAGTAGTTTTAAAGGGACATTTACAAACATCCTTAAATTAAAGTGAAATAATAATAGTGCATTAAAAGAGTGAAGATAAAATCCATCAGTTGTATGCACAGCTAACCAAAACCTGGATTTGAACATTGTCAGAGAATAAGCAGGATGAATCTGTAATGTAGCCCCCCCCATGTCACTCTGGGCACCAGCAGGAGGCCAGTCCCTGCGCTCCTCAGAGTCCGAGTTGGTTCATATGGCACTAAGTCACCATGTTGGCTCTGTGTTGGTGCCACTCAAATGCAAACGTTCTCCATCTTTCTCTCAGTTTGTATGTTAGTTAGTGTACCCACCTCCATTGTTCTTTACATTTGTTCTCGGCGACTGTGCATGTCCAAATGTACGTGCAGGGAAGTGGTGAGGTCATTACAGGCAGAGAATTCACACCTTTTTCTTCACGCAGCTGTGAAACAGGCCCCGCTGAGCAGTGTAACTGTAATGCCGCTTTTCCGCAGTATCAGTACTGTACAGTACAGTACAGTACACTTCAGCGCGCTAGTGGATGGTATGGGAGATTTGAGTACTTTTCCGTACTGCCTCAGCCGTGGTTCCATCCCCATAGTACCCGTGCCATGACGTCACGTCGGCCCTAGAGCCCTGCACGGGCCTATTATCTGGGCCCGAGCCCGGCCCTGGCCCGAGGGGGTGGCGCCCCAGCCCGGCCCGGCCCGATATGGTTTCTGAATTTTCAGGCCCGAAACCCGCATCAAGCCCGCCTTTTTTTTTTTTTTTGTAACCTCCCATAACAATGTTTTAGCGTAGTATATAGTGCCGCGCACTGATATGAACGCAGACTTAGCTAGAGGGCGGAGTTATACATGGTAGTGATGTGTTGCAATGAGTTCTGTGTGTGCGGAGTGGTGCAGAGTGAACGGCCGCATCTGCATGATGCCCCCGATGCTGCAACACATCTGCACATTACATAAGTAATGCTATGTGCCGTCAATGACAACACTACACAGAACAACAAACACTACAGCGTGATAGAACGCTATATTCAGTGGGTGCGTTCGTAAATGTATTCTGCCGCTCTGAAAATGAAGAGCCCGAGCCCGGCCCGTGTCCGAGGTCATTATGCGGTCATCGGCCCGAAGCCCGGCCCTCGGGCTGTCGGGCCGTCGGGGCCCTCGGGCCAAGGGCTCAAGTGCAGGGCTCTAGTCGGCCCACTGCCTTACACTGATTGGTCAACGAGTGTCGTCACTGGAAGCGACATCTGACCCTTTGGGAAAAACAACTCAACCGCCATCTTTAAAACCGGCTGCTCTGCTCGGCTCTGCTTCGGCTACATTACGTCCTCCTCACTCCAGAGAAATGGAATTGCACAGAAAGCCCCAAAAGTCCTGGTCCTGGTCGGTGGACGAGGTCCACACGTTCCTCTCTTCAGGCCAAAAGAAAGAATTCAAAGGCAGCTGGAGGCTCACAGTTTTCAGGGAGATCACCCAGCTCTGGATTTGTGACTAGTCTGTGGTAATCCTGGAAATAACTGGTTAGATACGAATCCCGTTGGCCCAAAGCGCTCACTGAAATGTATTTACTGTGTAAATGTTCGATTGTCTGTTGTACACAGTGAGCTAGCTACAATTAGCTTCATTTAGCTATCAATAGCAGCTAAGCTAACGTCCTCCCTGTGCTACTGTGCTTTATCTCGTATTATCTGCAGTATTCACGTGTTGTCATTCTGTTTTGTGCTTGTATTTAAGTTGTCGTGTGTATATTTGTATGAGAATCTCTTCCCATAAGTGTGGAGATTACCAACGAGTAATGAGTGACCGGAGTATTCTCCTCATCTGGACCTGGTCTCACACATACGTACTTTTGACTTTGTAAACTGTTGGTTTTGCACTTTACTTTTGTTTTCAATAAATTTGACTGTGTTTCATTCATTTATTATTATTGTAGCTGAGGTTTGGGTATTGATTGTTTGTCTGGTCTCGGAGTCTGCTGTAGTCCGGACCCGAGTCCGGACTAGCCTAGCCTAGCCTAGCCTAGCTTAGCCTAGCCTAGCCGCTAACTCGCTACCCCTATGGCTGCCGCTGTCTCTCCCTCGATCCTTTACTGCTCGAGTTGCCATATGACGAGTTTAAACCCCGGATCCTCCTCTGAGGGCAGTGATAGATGTGTTAAGTGTAGTATTGTAGTAGCTTTGGAATCCAGGGTTAGTGAGTGAGCTGAGTCTCGAGCTAGCGCTAGCATTAGCTATAGCCTAGCGCAGTGTCTCCCAAAGTGGGGTCCGCGGCCCCCTGGTGGGCCGCGAGGGTACTGCAGGGGGGCCGCGGGAGGTCATAAAAAAAATAAAGAAAATAATATAATTATTTAATGTTAAATTTATAATGTTTTGTTTGTAATATTAAAATATTTTGTGTTCATTATTTGACATCAATAATCCACTGTAATCATTTTTGTATTACAATGTTTGTAGCAGAGGCTATTTCCCCAAAATAAAATAACCAGAAGAGCCTATTCTTAATGTTGTCTTCTTGGTTATTATTTTGGGGGGTCCACGCAGACCCGTCAGATTTTTAAGGGGGCCTCGGTGTTACTGAGTTTGGGAATGGCTGGCCTAGCGGTATCCTCGGACATGCAGCCCTCCTCCTCTGCTACACAGGCTGCTGTTGCTAAAGGTCCCATTCAGATTGTACAGAGCAGTCAGCACCATTGACTTCACAGATTCCGAGTCATTCTTTAAAGACATAAGCATTTTCAAAAACTACTCGAGCTGTGCTGAATTTTCTATTAAACACTTGCTCTGATATTATAATAAATCCATGCACCGCACCAGTACTAGTTCTACGTCATGGTGCTACGTCCCTTAGGACTTCGCTAGTGGGATATCACTCGTGACCCCCAGGTCACACGCCAGAGAGATCAAAATAATTTGCTCCAATCACCAGCCACCTTCCTCTATAAATGCCCCTGCACAAGGCTGCACCCCCTTTTTCACTCTGGCGCCGTTTGAGATCTACCACAGTACTTACTTCATTCTGAGATGTCTTTCTTGTTCGTCCGAGTTCCCTTCGCCCTCCGGCGTCGGACGTCGTCACTGGATCCAGACGGTGGAGGACTTCACCTCTGTGGGCGCCACCACTCGAGGAAGGAGGAGGATGCAACCCACGTTGTGCCCGCGGATGGACCCGTTCGTCCATTACGCGACACGTGAGTGGCCTAAGCCCCTAGCAGTTAAGAGGCCTGCTCTGGGGTACGACATATACTGCAGCGTGCAGGACTGGTCCTGGACCGGTGATCGAGGATTCAGTCCGCATGGCCCTGCAGCCCTCCGCATCCGTGTGGCCCGGCACCAGACCTCTCCTTCCCTCCGAGCGAGACAGGATGTCTTGGCGATGCCGGATAGATGTTATGCCATTGCAGCACAGGTCCTCGCATTGACTAACAACATGGCATTCATCACGGGGGCCCTGGATATGTCGCTCTCTTCTGGACAGGCGCTCAGTGGAGACCTCCTGTCACAGGCGAGGACCACCTCGGCGGCAACTCTGCGCATGTGCCAGACGCTAGCTGTGGATGGTGGCCGCTCCATGGCAGCAGCCCAAGTCGGGCCAGGCACCTTTGGCTTGGGCTGGCTAACAACAGGGAGGCGGAGAGGAGGCAGCTGCTGGACCTGCCCATCTCTCAGATGTCCCTCTTCGGCCCGGACATGCAGGCCTGGGTGGCGAGACTGGAGTCTGCAGCTAAAGACTCGGCTAGGCTAGCCCCGCACCTAGCACCGAGGCGCGAGGCCCACCAGCCATTACGGAGCGGGACAGAGGCAGAGAGCGTTGGCC